CCAGAGAATGGTGACTCTTCCAGCGAGGGGGCCATCAAACATCGGAGGCCAGCATCCCATCTCATCCTCCCTGATCCCTGAAGCTCTTCTTCTCCAGGTCGAGCTCTCAGCTCCTTCGGGTGCTCCTTGGGGCCCTGACCCTTTCCCACCACACCCCAGCTTGCCCACATCCACATCCAGTGTGTGCCAGGCACCCCCCCCCCGCAGCTGATCTGATCTGCAGAGCTCATGGAGACATTCTCTCCCCTCCTTTGATCCTGCCCTTCTGCCAACCAGTGCAGCAGGGGTCAGCTCACTGTGGGAGACGCTCCCTGCCCCACTGATGACCCCATGATCCCTGGGACTGACTCATCAGTTAGCTGAACACCGGAATGCTTGGAGAGAAGGCGGTAGGAAAGGAGATGCCTGTGTGGAGACGCAGCATATTCCGAGGGACTAGGTCTCTTGTGTACATGTGTCTGTGTGTGTACGTGTAGGCCTGTATGTCTGCACATCTTGTGTGTGTGCATCTGTGTGTCTCTGTGCATGTGTGTTCATGTGTGTGCATCTGTGTGTGCATGTGTATATGTGTGTCTGCGTGTCTCTGTGTGTCCGTGTGTGTCTGCATGTCTTGTGTGTGTGCATCTGTGTGCCTGTGTGCATCTGTGCAGGCATGTGTATGCACGGGTACCTGTGTGTCTCTGTGCGTGTGTGTGTGTCTGCATGTCTTGTGTGTGTGCATCTGTGTGTATGGGGGGAAGGTGTGTCTTTAGTCCTATACCTACTGTCAGTGTTTTTAGAATGGGCCATATCCTTCCCATGTTCTGACTGCTTGTAAATTGCTAAGCACTAATAAATAGGCATTTTCACCAACTAACAGGGAAAATTCCAGAAAAACCAGTTTCTTAAAAGAGGAAGGCAGACTTTGATTTCACCACCCCGCCCCCCACCCCAGAAGGTATTGTAAAGCCCGTGGAGCTGAAATGAAGCAGCCTGCAAAGCCTCTTCCAGGTGTCCCCTCCCACCCAGCTGCGCAGGCCCTGGGGGTGAATCCCATGAAGATATGGCCATGGCTCCTCCCCTCTTAGACCGCCCACGGGACGCAGGAGGAGGGACATTTGAGGCCTGGAATTTTTAAAATACCAGTGGGCTCCACTGCAGATGGGAGGGGATGGTATCCTCCCACCCCCAAAAAGCGAGGCAGGGATCTAAGCCAGTCCAGAGGGGACTTCTTCCCACTGTGCCTTCCTCCACTCCTCAGCTCCCCACCCGTCCAAGCACAGGTGCCCATGGGCCTACACACACCCCTGCCCTAGAAGAAGCCAATCTGAGGAGAGGGCTCCTAGCAACTTTCAGCCTGGGTTGCACAGAGTTACCCAAGAGTGATTAAAATTCCCACTGCCCAGGCTGGACCTTAGACTGACCCACTCAGAATCTCTGGGGTGGGGCCCAGGCTTCAGCACTTTCCCGCCGAGCTTGAGACAAGAGAGAGCCTCATAGCCGCCATCCCTCTGCCCCTCCTTGCCCCCGCTGATGTTCCTACCTCTTCCAAGGCTGGACTCTCTTCACACCCTGCACGCCTTGTGCAACCAGAGTTATCCTGCTCATCAGGACCAGGACTGGCCCCTACTGGCCTCGGCCAGCCCCAGGCAGCAGAGATTCCAGAATCTTGTCAATAAGGCAAGCACCCAAGGTGAGGTCTAGAGCTGCTTCTCTCCCATGGAGACCCACACTGGATCCTCATGTTTCAGGTGGTTGAGGCAGAGCCCGGGGCTGAGCATCTCAGCCTGGCCTAGTACCAGCAAGAGATACACATGCAAGCAGCTCAAACTTCAGCACTCACGCAGATTTTCTGGGGATCTGGCTAACATGAAGATTCTTATCTGCAGGCCTGGGGTGAGGCCAAAGGTCCTGTCTTTCCTGTAAGCACCAGGTGATACTGATGCCAATGGTACACGGGCCACACTCTGCATAGAAAATGCAAAGGTGGCTGGGCGCCTTTAATCACACCTGTAATCCCAGGACTTTGGGAGGCTGAGACAGGCGGATCACGTGAGGTCACGAGTTCGAGACCAGCCTGGCCAATATGGTGAAACCTCATCTCTACTAAAAATACAAAAATTAGCCAGGAGTGGTGGTGTGTGCCTGTAATCCCAGCAACTCAGGAGGCTGAAGCTAAAGAATCACTTGAACCTGGGAGGCGGAGGTTGCAGTGAGCTGAGATCGCACCACTGCGCTCCAGCCTCCTGGGTGATGGAGTGAGATTCTGTCTCAAAGAAAAAAAAAGAAAAGAAAAAGAAAAAGAAAAAAGAAAGAAAGAAAATGCAAGATCCTTTGGGTATTCTGTGTGATAATATGTGTCAGGAGAGCTGCCCTTCTTCACCCAGAGCCCTCCGCTGCAGCCCCGTCCACTTCCTTCTTGAGGTACCAGGAGCACAGCCACCACACTGCTGAGTCCCCTCAAAGGCCAGCTGCATCAGCTCGGCTCACAGGCCATAGCTTGTCTCTCTCATCAGACACTCCTCCCCTGTACCAGGCCAACCCCCGAGGTCCCTACATCCCTCCGCAGCTGGACAGTGTCAGGGGACGACCTCCTGACCTCCCCCATCACACACCCAGGAGCCCTGGTCCACTCCCTGGGAAGCCAGCCTACAGCCTAGCCCGTAACCCCGTATCTGACCAGTGACATCAGTTTGGTTTCCCGCTTGTCCATGGCTCATCGGAGTGTGTCTCTCCCCTCAGAAGCCAGCCCTGAGAGCGGAGAAAGAGGCAAGAGCTAGGAAGAGCCTGGCCGAGAAGTCAGCTCACCTGGGTTCGTAGCCTGGCTGGGCCACTTACCCCGGCTCTGTGATTTTGAGCAAGTGTCTTCACCTCTTTGAACTGCAGTTTCTTCATCTGTGAAATGAGGACAAGGATAACCCTTACCTCTCGGGTGCACGTGCGTGAGAAATGATACCCAAGTGCTTAGCACAGGCTCTGGCACTTAGCAGGTGTTGGCTGAATGCCAGCCTTCACCAGTGGTGATGCCGAGTACCAGCTCTTCCAGCTAGAAACTGTGTGACCTCTCAGTGCATCGGTTTCCTTATATGTCTCTGTGTATAACAGTGCCTACTTCACGGTGTTGTTGGGATGACTCAGCATGACGTCATCAGCATGACGATATCTAACAGATAGCAGGGCGCAAGACATGTTCAGTCTCCACCTTGGACAGGGTCTGAGTTTCCTGTGTCTTGTATCCCTCATAGCAACAGGTTTCAAAGTATGATCCAGGGACCCCAGGGGTCCCTGAGACCCTTTCAGGAGTGCTGAGGTCAAAGCCATTTTCATAATGCTATTAAGCCATTATTTGACTTTTTTGCTCATTTTCCCACAAGTATACAGTGTTTTCCAGAGGCCCATGATGGGTGATATTGCAACAGATTGTATGCAGAAACTGATATAAGAATCTGGCTGTCTCCTGGTAAGCCCGACGCGAATAGGCCTTTACAAAATGCAAAGCACATGGTGGCTCATGCCTGTTATCCCAGCACTTTGGGAGGCCAAGGAGAGAGGATTGTTTGAGCCCAGGAGTTCGAGACCGGCCTGAGCAGCATAGTGAAACCTCTTTTGTACAAAAAAAAATATTAAAAAATTAGCCAGGTATGGTGGCACACACCTGTGGTCCCAGCTCCTTGGGGGCTGAGGTGGGAGGATCACTTAAACCTAGGAGGTTCCCTAGTCATAGCGAGCGCGAGCTATGATTGTGCCACTACAGTCCAGCCTGGGCAACAGAGCAAGACTCTGTCTCAAAAATAATAATAATAATGCAAAGCAAAGTCACCCTTCTCACCCAGTGCTTTTGTTTTAGAAAATATTTTTTTTCACAAAAATGCTATCTATATTAACATGTGAAGAATTTATTGCTATGGAAGTGAATTAAGTACTTTTAGTGTTCTCAGTTTTAATTTATACTATGGTAAAAGATCAAAATTTATACTATGGTAAAAGATCAAAAGATATAATCATTCTAAACAAAAGCCCTTTGGGGTCCTGAGTAATTTTAAGAATGTAAAGGAATCCCAAGACCCAAAAACTTGAGAAGGCCGCCCACAGGAGGACCGTGAGGGCCACTGAGGGCTCAGCACAAACCTGCTCAAATAAGCTGGTCCAAGCCCCCCTCCAGCCACACGGTGAGCTCAGGGGAGAGCTTGCGCCATGTCATTGAGTATTTTGGATCTCCCAGAGACTCCTGTGCTGTGCTAGGCGTGCCTCAATAGGTCCCACTCCCAAACTTTCTGAATTCCAAAGAATTCACCCAGGAACCCTGGGCCTGGTACATGAATGAACCACACATTTGCCACTTGATGGGCACCAGCCCTGAGAGATGTTGCCTGACAACCCGTGTTCCCCCTCTCTCTGACAGACCTCACCCCTTCCGGGATCAACCACTTCCCCATTCTCAGTCCCCGTAGTTTCAGGAGGCTCCAGAGGCAGTTGTGTGACCCAGATCCGGATAGAGTGATTGGTTTCGAGTTAATCATATGAGCCAGGCAAGATCCAGATCACAGCCAATGAGCACGTGTCCCAGTTTCTTGCTGAGAACATTGGGAGAAAAGAGCCCTCTTCTCCAAGGGCTATCGAGCTGGTGGGATGGAAGCCCAGAGTATCTGGGGGCACTGCCACTCAGATACAGCTTGCCTGAAAGTTAAGCCAACTCAGACCCAAGTGATGGGGACGAATTCCTGATTCTACCATTTGAGCTCTTAAATGCAGCTAGGCCCGGACTTCTCAGTCACTTGGGCCAAGAAACTTATTTTTTTCTTAAACAAGTTTGAGTTGAGTTTCTCTTCCAGCTGAAAGAGTCTGAATGAATAAACGCATGGAACCAGAACCACAATGCGGATGGTGGGGAAGCCGCTGGGAGGATTTGAGCTGTCCACCAGAGGCATTGCTGAAGCCCACCTGGATCTCTGGAGAGGCCCCTTTTTGCCCACCAGAGACGTGGCAGACCCCTGTCCAAACAACACAGATAGATAACGGCACAGAGTTTTCTTCAACTTTATCATTTATAAAGCCATACAATGCATCGCAAAGAAACAAAGCAGCTGTACAGGAGTGGGGACGCGTCAGTGTACAATACATTCATGTCCAGGATAAGGAGCATACACCAGGATTTATACACGGTGGCAGCGGCTATAGGCACGATGATACAAAATATAAGTATATTTCCATCTATATAAATACACAGCTGGGGTGGGGGAGGATGCTGGGTGATCTTGTTTCTCTCGCAGAGGGCCTGGGAGGCAGGGAGGGTGGTGGGAAGGGATTTCTTACATTTGTTCTGAATGATGGGTCTGAAGGGAGGAGAGAAATGGGGAAACGCAGCCTGCACACACTGATGTGCTCTCACACACACGCACAAACCAAACACAGACACAGGAGAGTTGCAAACGGCTTAACACTGACTGGAAAACAAGCTTGGGACATCCCTCTACAGTAACTCCACTGCTGGCAAGAGCCCAGGCGTGGGATATGAACAGAGGTCCTCCAACATTTTGGACATTTGAGGACAGAAGGGCCAAGAGGGACGAGGCCCCCACCCTGCCCCTCTGGGTGGCCCACTCCTCACCTGGGCCATCGCTGAGACTCCACCAACTGGTTGCCCTACAGGCCTCACCTCCCAATTCCCCTCACTGCTGGGCAACATTGAACTTGAAGTTCCATTGCCCAGCACCTCCAACCCCTACCCCCAAGTTCCCTAAAGAGATGAGCAAAACACACGCACATACATACATCCACACTTGCACATGCACACACACGTCCTGTGTTACCACTGGCCAAGGAAACGCAAGTCTCAGGATTCCAGGGCCTGGACCTGGGGTAAAGGGCGGCTGTGGGACTCCGCCCCCTAACCTCTTGGAGGACCCCGAGTGTGGGGGTAGAATTGGGTGTCTCCCTTGACTCACATGATCTTCCCAGGTCCTAAAACTGGAAAAAAAAAAAAAAAAAGTGGGAGAAGATCCAGGAGGCAGGAGTGATGGACAAAAGTGGGAGTGAAACTGAAAAGTGGGCGTGAGACTAGATTTGATCACACTCACCACCCTTCTGTGTTCCCTGGACAGCATGTTCCCCTGGAGCCCCTGCGCAGGCTCATCAGAACAAGGCAGAATCCCCTACTTGCCAACCTCCTGAGAGCCCTTTATAGGGGCATCACGCTTGTCCAGGAGGACTGCCCCTCCTGCTCTCACACAACCACTGGCCCCTCCATCCCTCTCCTGGCCAGTCTCGGAAGACCCAGGGGGCCTCAAAAGCCAGGGGAGAAGGAATCCTGGCCATTGGTGTCCACAGCTTTCAGAGCTACTGGAGGAGAGGCTCAGATGAGGTGGCTCAAAGGCCTTTCCCAAACTTAGAATGTGATGTATCTGTCACTCAAGTGCCTGGCTAAATAAGAGAGCCAGAATACCATGCTAGCAGGCTGATCAAACCGCTCACTTCCTCCCTGTTTTCCTTCTCTGGTCCCCTCTCCATTGTTTTCTCGCCCAATCCTTCCCTCTTGCTCCCCTTGGGAAAGAGCCACATGGAGCTCACTGGGCCCCTCCCCCAGCTGAAAGGACATGACCCTCTTCCCTCCAGACACCCAGCTGGACAGCTGGCGGCAGCACGGGACTGAGCCTGCTGGGGTCTGCGTCGCTGCGATGGCCATGACTCCCCGGCTCTTTCTTGCCCATCTTCTCCCAGACCCTTTCCCATCCCAGCCCATGTTCAAGGCCAGACAGCGCTCTCCTGGCTGACACACAGATTCAACAATAAACAACAGTAAAGATTGAGGGAGGGAGAAGACAGAAGAGGATAAACATTTACAAAATAATAATTAGTAAAAGTGCTTTCTTTTAAAGGAAATCTTTGGCAAGAATATACTGCAGTGCGGAGTGGTGTGTGCGTGGAGTGGTGTGTGTGCGTAGGCGTGTGCATGGCTGCACAGCTCCCTGTGACACAGGAGGGCTCTGGTGCAGGGCCCAGAGGTGGGGCCACTGTGGGGACTGGGAAACCCTTCCTCATCATTCACCTTGAAAGGCCACACTCTCAGAAACTGACTCCTTCCGCAGGGATGCTGGGAGGGAGTTACCAGCTTTCTGGCATCAATGGGTCCTCCCGCAGGGGCACACACAGCTCAGGCTGGAATGGAGGGGCTGGTCATGCATGCAAGGTGGGCTGCGGTGGGTGGTGAGGAAGAGGAAAGCGACTATGAAAGCTGACCCCAGACTCAGTCCCGGGCACCAGCCAGGCTGCTTGAAGGGTCTGATACATCGCCCAGCCTCAAGTGTGGACAGAACATCCATGCCAGGAAGAGGCTCCTGGGCTGTCCAGTGGGAGATGAGATATTTACAAAGGAAGGGGATGGGAAATATCTCCTATCTTGGGAGATAACTGGGGTTTGCTAGGGAATGAGGAGAGGGGGAAACCCAGATATTTGGCTTGAATATCTCAGAAGGAAGAGCACTTTGGAGGGACTTCGATCACCAGGCACAAGGTTTCACTCTGGTAAGCAGGGGGTGGCCGGTGGGGCCTCTGCCCCTGCTCTCCACCTTCTGCAGACACCCTCCTTTCCAACTCCCTCAAATAGAAAGTCCACACTGACACAGCTCCTTGGAGGAGAAAAAATACAAAAGGCACACACACCCCTATGTGTGCCACACACACCCATGTCCCCGCATGCTCACACACTTGCTCAGGCCTGCAGAGGCAGGGACAGCTCCCCACACATCCTGGGGGCTGACTGCTGGGCCCCTGGCTTGCTGAAAAGTAACGGGGCCAAAGGGTGGAACATATGCAACCCCTCCCAACACTGAGCCCCACACAGTCTAGGGAAGGCCAAGGCCAGGGCAAGGAGACCCTGGCTGCTCCAAGAACAAAGGCCCCCTACATTTCAGGCTTTACTTACATATGTAAAAAGGGATAGGAATTGGTTTATACCCAGGGAAGGCAATAAAGCAATATGGAAAAACAATAAATACTTCTTGTCAATTTACCTATTCTTTTTTTAACCTTTTCTTACATTTTATTAGCTTACAGATTCTGTCAGTATGTCTCATGTATATATTATATAATATTTATACATCAGTACAATGCCTCTCTCTAGGGGACCCCCATAGGCTTAAGAATGGAGTCCTGGTGAATTTTCCATTCTGGCTTAGAGTCCTTAAATGGTGGTCAGGTGTCTTCCCAACTGTCCAGTGGACCTTAGGCCCTTTGGCCCAAGTGCAAGCCTTCTGCCCTCTGCTGCATGGGCAGTGTGGCTCAGCTGGGGAAACCAAGGCAGAAAGGGTGACAGTGAGGTTTGGCATTGTAGGTAGGCGATACGGTGTACAGGTAGCAGCCCCAGGAGCTCTGCTGAGGTCAGAGGGTGCCTGCAAAAGCCAGACCCTAAAACACTTACAGAGGGGAGGATAAGGACTCCAGGTTTCTCCCCTGAGCCTCACTGAGCAGGAAGCAGGTTCCCCAGGGTGAATTCCAACACAGGGACCCTGCAGAATAGAACAGGGCTGGGCAGAGCAGGAAGGCTCAATCCCCAGCCCCTGAAAAGGCATCATGCAGGTAAGCAGGTCTGAGATAAGGCTGGTCCTGGGGCATGAAACCCAGGAACAGGGCTGAGAGGTGGGAGCTAAGGCAGAGTCCAGGGCCCCAGCAGGAGCACATTGCCTTCCTTGCTGCTGAGCCACAGGCCTTGGGGAAGACACTCTGAGCTCAACAGCTGCCTGTTCTCACAGATCTCTTCGTATGGACACACATATTTCTACCTCCTCAAACCAAAGCTCCAGCCTTCTGGCCAAGGCGGGACAGGGTGATGCCATTGCAGACCCTCCCACTCCTGCTGGGGTCTTTGCAGAGGAGAAGGGTCTGGCGGCACCCAGGGCCACTAGAGTGCAGGTGCAGGCACCAGGAGAGAGCCTCTGCCACCCACAGCTTGGTTGTTTGTCCCTCCCCTGCTGGCCTGCCACCGCCAACCCTAATCTTTGGACAATATGCATGTGTGTCTACAAACACATGGGACAAGGACAAGCCGAGCTGTTTATAATTCGAGTGGATAAAGGCTGAACTAGATCAATGTGTGAGGATGTGGGTGCAGACACACACTCACACAACAATATAGTGAAGGCACAGCAAAGAGACCTGAGGTGCCTTGGGTCTGAGATACTTTCAAGCGAACAAGTTCTGCCACTTGATGTCCCACGGTGGCTCTGTTTGGTTTGACAATCTACCCTACAGGTGGCCAGAAAAAGATTCTCCCAGCTTGATTTCCCCTTGCAAAGCAGTTGAGTTAAGGAGACAGAGCTTTTCCATCCACCCCCCCCGCCAAAATTGTGGATTCCCAAGGAGGTTTGTTCCTTCTCTTTTGAGGACATCCATCTTCTCGGGGTAGGGAGGGGGTATTAGGCGGACCTGGTTAGTTTTGGAGGCTTTGGGTTTTTGCAGTTTCCATCTACCCAGGGGAATCCAAGTTCTTCTCCTCCATCTTTTGCTTTCCCTCTTTCTCTCTCTCTCTTCCCCCTCCCCTCTGCAATTCACTTCCCTCTCCCCACGTTGCACTTTCTTCTCTCCTCCGAAATTGGCCCAAAGTCCTCCTTCTGGGTTCAAGAGTGGTCAGGATTCACGGGTCCCCTCCCCACGCGCCCCTTCCCCAAGGCACTGGCCCTGGGCAAGAGGCAGGGTTCATCTCTTTTGGCCAGCGTTCAGCATGACCTTGGAGACGAAGTTGACGATGGCAGAGGCCGGCTGGTTGGGGTCAAGTTCAGCAAAGAGGTGGCAGGCGTTGTCCGTGGTGCTGCCCTGCTTCCGGGCCACAAAGCCGAAGAGCCTGCAGGCAGGAGAGGGCAATGGGCATGAGGGGAGGGCAAATGGAACCCCAGGAGGTAGACAGCAGCCCAGGTAAGCAAGCTGGTCTCAGGCCAGCCTTTCTCCCCCATCCCTCCAGTAAGCCTCAGCATCAGGGACTCGGAGAGGCACAGAAGAGAATCCTCTGTGCACTCTCCTGACTGCAAGCCAAGGCCTGGAAACAGTGTCCCGCCTTGTTTAAGGATGGGCAGAAATCCCCCTTGGAGGGGTGCGAGGGAAGCTGCAGGGGACTGACAAAGCTGGATAGTGAGGGGTGGGGAGGAGACCAAAATAAAATGGGAACATTCCTAGACAGGCCTCTCCCCGCCCATCCCAGCCCTACCCCTACTGACTGTTCTGACACACAACACATATGCCAATCAGGAAAGTGCTGTCTGCCTGCAAAGAGCTGGGCCTCCTCAGACACCACAAGGTCAGGGAGACAAAGGTCAAGTAGTTCACACCCCTTCACACACACACTGATTCTTCCTGGGCTCAAGAACCTTGGAAGCCAGAAAATAAAAAGGGAAGGTGGACCCCACACCCATTCCCCACCCCCACCCGCAGGCCTGGAGTGACCCAGTGTTCTCTTTGCAAAACAGAGTTAAAAATATGAGGGCAGAGAACAGAATGTGAGCTCAGGCCCCCTCCCAGCCAGCATGTTGCTAATTAGAGCGAGATGGGGAAATGAGGACAGCTGGAGATTCCGATGGAAACCCCTCTCCCTACCACAGGACCATGGCAGCTAAAGTTAGCAAAGGGGGATTCGGCTGTTCGCTGTGTGCCATACACACCACCACACTCATACACACCATCACACACACACACCACCACACACACACACCACCACACTCATACACACCACCACACACACACCACCACACACACACCACCACACTCATACACACCATCACACACACACCACCACACACACACCACCACACTCATACACACCATCACACACACACCACCACACACACACACCACCACACTCATACACACCATCACACACACACCACCACACACACACACCACCACACTCATACACACCATCACACACACACCACCACACACACACACCACCACACTCTCACACACTGCCCACATACCACCACACTCATACACACCATCACACACATACCACCACACACACACCACCACACACATACACACCGCCCACATACCACCACACACACACAGCACACACACACCACACACATACACACCACACACCACCACACACACCACCACACACACACCCCACCACACACATACACACCGCCCACATACCACCACACACATACACACCCAACACACACCACCACACACACACACACCATCACACACACCACACACACACCACCACACACACACAGCACACATACACCACACATACACCACCACACACACACCTACCACACACATACACACCACACACATACACACCACCCACATACCACCACACACATACCACCACACACACACCTACCACACACATACCACCCACATACCACCACACACACACCACACACATACACACCCCACACACACCACCACACACACACACACCATCACACACACCACCACACACATACACCATCACACACATACCACCACACACACCCCTACCACACACATACCACCCACATACCACCATACACATACACATCCCACACACACCACCACATACACACCATCACACACACCACCACACACACACCTACCACACACATACCACCCACATACCACCATACACATACACATCCCACACACACCACCACATACACACACACCATCATACACACCACCACACACACACCTACCACACACATACCACCCACATACCACCACACACATACACACCCCACACACACTACCACATACACACACATACACCATCACACACATACCACCACACACACACAGCACACACACACCACACACACACCACACACCACCACACACACACACCTACCACACACATACACACCACCACACACATACACACCACCCACATACCACACACACAGCACACACACCACACACCGCCACACACACACTTACCACACACATACACACCACACACACTACCCACATACCACCACACACACACCACACACACCACCACACACACACCACCCACATACCACCACACACATACACACCACACACATACACACCACCATCACACGCACAACCATCATACACACCATCACACACATACCACCACACACACACAGCACACACACCACACACACCACTACACACATACCTACCACACACATACACACCACATACACCACCACACACACACCACCCACATACCACCACATACACACCACCACACACATACACACCATCACACACACTACACACCACCACACTCATCACACCATCACACACCACATACACACACCACATACATACACACCACCCACATATCACACACACACCACCACACACATACACACCACCTACATAACACCACACACACCTACCACACATATACCACACACACCACCACACACACACCACCACACACATACACACCATCACACACACCACACACCACACACACCACCACACTGACACATCACATACATACCACCCACATACCACCACACACACACCACCACATACACACCACCACACACACCACACACATACCACCACACACATACACACCACCCACATAACACCACACACACCACACACACACTACCACACACATACACACCACCCACATAACACCACACACACCACACACAACCACACACATATACACCATCACACACACCACACACACACCACCACACACATACCACCACATACATACACACCACCCACATACCACCACACAAACCACCACACACATACACACCATCACACCATCACGCACACACACCACACACACACTACCACACACATACACACCACCCACATAACACCACACAACCACACACATACACACCATCACACACACCACTACACACACCACACACACACCACCACACATACACACCACCACATACATACACACCACCCACATACCACCACACAAACCACCACACACATACACACCCTCACATCCATACACACCATCACACACACACAACACACATATCACCACACACATATACACCATCACACACATCACATGCACACACCACACACACACCACTGCACACACGACACACACACCACTGCACACACCACACATACCACCACACACACATATACCACACACATACACAAACCATGCATACATACATACACAGGCCACACACATACACAACATATACACACCAAACACCACACACACAAACACAACATATATGCACCCCCCACACACACACACACAATCCTGCATTTCCTACAGCTGTGCTCCCCCAGCCTTGTTTCAGGGGCCGGGAGCAACAGGGCCAAAGGCCTGGGGTAATGCCCAGGTGGAGCGGGGAGCTGGGGTCCACAGGGCAGCCCCCAGCATCTGCCTTTCCTGGCTGGCTCGGACCCTGAGAAGGGGTGGGGGTGATCCTGGCAGAGGGAGGGAGCATGCCAGCCCTGGCTGTGGGTGTCTACCAGGATGGAGACCCAGCAACTGCACCTGACGGGAGCACCGAGCCTGCCCTCCCCTGATATTCCTTTCAGCTGTGGCTCCCAGGCTCCCGCAATAGACCAGTCCTGTCATCTGCCACAAGGAATAGATCCAGGCAAGAAGCCTCAGCCCCTAAGGGCAGGAGGGAGCCCTTGCAAGATCCCAAGAGCTAACATCTCCTTGAATTTTGCACCTGAGATCCCTGGCTGGCCTCGCCTTGTCCCTGTCATGATTCCCTGTTAGCCCACTGCCCTACTCAGCCTCTCCCTGTGGCCTCTGTCCCACCCATCAAAGCCTCTTCAGCAGGAGGTTCAACTCAAAACCAGCTCCTGAAGGAGGAAAAGAGGGATTTCCAGGCTTAGGGGCCCCGCTCCCTTCTGTCCCTGACCCTCTCCCCTCGCAGGGCCCTGTGGTGAGTGAGCACAAGCACCTTCAAACACGAAGTTCCAGCCTGCCGCCGTGGCCAGCAGAGACATGGGAGATGCAGGGACTCGCAGCACTGATGATCCTATGAAGCCTGGACAGGGCTGAGCCCCACCATCCCACATGGCGTCTCCTAAGCCGCCATCACTGACCATGTGATAGACTAGTCAGTCCATTCATTCGGACTGAGGCATCCTCATGCTCTTCCAGCCTCTGTTCTCTCGTTTCTTCATTCAACAAATATTTACCAGCCTCCCCATGTGCCAGACATGGCCCTTCCCTCGGGGAGCCTGCAGTCTGGTGGCCATGAGGCCCCTCCCCTGAAATAGTCCCTCCTACTCCCATTCTCATTTTGACCTGTCCAAATTGAACCTGTCTTTGAAGACCCATCCTTAAATATCTGCTCTTTCCACCTCTCTGAGGTGCTAATGTGTTCTCTTGCATGAGCTCCCCAGATGGAAGCTGAACTCTCTTGCTGCCTCTCCCTCCCTTGCAACTGACATTTTTTTTTTAACAGTGAACATTTTGTTTTTCTAAAGCAACCTTGTATGAAGTTTGCATGTATAAAGGTGAAAGCAGTATTTTACAGCTCCAAACGCATGACATTTACCTATTATAAAGTCAATCAATGAGGATAATAGGGTTGTTGGAATAATCCTGACAAAGTGAAAAGTGGATGACAGATCATAGTGACAGTCTCATGTCAGCTTCAGACCCCAGGTTATGCCTATATTTTGTTTTGGTTTTGTGATTGTGAGAAAAGCCTAGTTCCTACTGATAGACAACTGCAAAGAGCAGCAGAGTTTTCCCTCCCTTCTGAACACCAGGTGCAATCCAAGGATGCTAGGATCCTTGGAACACAGTTTGAAAGTCACAGAAGCATCTTAGTGCTATTTAGACATCTATCTTATCTGCTGTGCCAATGGGCCTCCTGAGGGCAGGGTCAGAGACCCAAGCAGGATCTGAGTTCCTTGGAGGCCCCTAGGACATGTCCACTGGATGGAGGAATCCACCCAAAGGTCCCAGGCCATCCCCAGAATTCAGACCTTCTGGGCTCCACATTCTGGTAAGGCTGCCTTGCTTGGCCACAAGACTCATAGGAAAGCCCAAAAAAGCAAGAACAAGAATAAAGGCAGCTAGAATTGGGGCAGAAAAGATCATGTAAGCAACCCCTGCCCCACCTCCATTGCTTCCAATGAGACTCTGTTTTCCGTCCACTTCCTGCCATCCCTGCTGCTTCTGACCCTGGGAGAATGAAGGTGGCTAGACCAGAGGCTGGGCCTCTGGCCTGGAGGAAGGACAAGGCAAAAGGCCTGTATGCCTGGTCAAGCTTCGCTTGGAAGCTGAGTGACCTCGGCACAAAGGGTTTTGCTGCTCTTTCCCTACCCCTGGCCCTGGTTTCTAAATGTGCCCCATGCTTCCCTCACTGTGAAGTACAAAGGCCAGCCTGCTGGGTGGGGGGTAAGAAGTCACACTTACTTAGCAGGGGCACCACCCTCTGTTTTCATCCACCTGTGGAGAGAAAGTGGGCTCAGGGTAAATCACCGTACTTTCTCCCTAGAGCCCAGCCCCACACACAGCCAGACCTTCTGCAGGAAGCCAGGGGACCGACCCCCCATTCCCAGGGCACAGGAGCTGCCCAAGCTCACACAGAGATGCATTCAAGGTGGAGAGAACACTGCAGCCTGCCTCCTGAGGGGCTCTCCCCATCGTGGAGAGGAGAGGCAGGTTCAGGGTCAGGGCATGACAGAAGGGGTGGCCATGGGCACTGAGTCCCTAGGAGAGTCCCCATATCTATAGTGGGAAAGACTCAAAAGATACCCAACACGATTATTCACACATGGGCAGACCTTCCAGCTGAATGGAGAATGTACACACATACACATGCACATGCATGCACCCACACAGACGTGTGGGAGGGAAGAGAGCTATGTGGGAGGGAAGGTGTGTACAAGAGACTTACTTTCTTTCCTGTGGATCCAGGTCACAGAAGGTGACAGTATTGAGGGGGTAGTGGCGTCTGAAAAAGAGCCTGCAGCACAGACATCAGATAAACAGAGAATGAGTGCTAACGGGGCTGCTTTTCCCCTCCTTCCACCAGCAGGTCAGGCCACCTTTCCACCATCTGTGGCTATCACAGGTCCACACAACCTCTCTCTTATGAGCAAGATGGCCTGAGCTGCTGACACTGGCAACCTAAGCAATGTACAGAGACAGATGTGCCATAGAATTATCCCAAATGCCAGGGGCTGGGAAAGGAGGAAACTGGCACTGAGGAATAGGAAATGTGGGGAGGGGTTGGAAGAAGAAGCAAAGAGGCCGGGGACACTGTTAGGAGAGAGTCCAAGTGGATGGGCTCTGCTCCTAGAAAGCAGGTCCTTTTTATCAGTTGTATTTACAGCCATATACGCAATGCTGGCAAATTCTCACAGAAGGATGGATGAATGGGTAGATGGATAGATGAATGGAGATATAGATGGATGAAGGGAAAAATGGGTGGTCAGGGATAGATGAGGGATGAATGAATGCAGGGATTAGATGGATGGATAGATGCATGGATGCATGGATGGATGGATGGATGGATGGATGGATGGATGGATGGATGGATGGATGGATGGATGGATGCATGGATGCATGGATGGATGGATGGATGGATGGATGGATAGATGCATGGATGGATGGATGGATGGATGGATGGATGGATGGATGGATGGATGGATGGATGGATGGATGGATGGATGGATGGATGGATGGATGGATGGATGGATGGATAAGTAGCTGGGTAGATGGGAGGTAGATGCAAGACAGATGGACAGGAGGGTAGATGAGAAGTTGGGTGCAAGGAATTAATCAATTGGTAAATGGGTGGGTACATGGATGAACAGATGGGTCACAGGAAGGAGAACCCCACCCAGGAGCAGGCACAGGAGTCTTACTTTCTCTGGTTGTCAGTCAGAGTGATTCCCTGGGCAGAGACTTTGAAGTGAACGATGGTGGCAGCTGGCGTGGGGTCTGCAGCCAATGTCTCAGATGTGGCTTTGGAAATGGCCTGTGGCCCAGTGAGTGACTCCATGTCCACAGAGTTGATGAAGAGCACATTGCAGGCTGGAAGAAACCAACCCAAGGGGGAGAGTCATGGGAGCCGGGGTGGGTGAGGACATTAACCCAGATCCATTCTTCAGGGAGAAGGTAGCAGATAAATTTCAGGCTAGCCTTGAGCCAAGGCATCTGCACATAGAAATGTGATCTTCCCGGAGATATTTGGGCCTGGAGAGACCTCCAGCCTGCATCTGCAGGAGGGATCAGGGCAGGAAGGCAGAAAGGAAGGCCTGGGCATGGGTAGTTTCAGGTGACCACTCACCTGCCCCTTGTTTCAGCAGGTCTGCTGTTGAATTGGCAGGGCCGGAGCTATCTTTCGATTCATCTGTGGGGTCTGAGACAAAAATTCAGTAGGAATTAAAACCCTAGAGCTGGAAAGAAGCACAAGTTTGGCTGGGCTGAAGTTGAGCTCTGCAACTCTTTGGCACAAGGGACATTGCTTTTCATATCAGAACATGGCAGTCAGCCCTGAGTTAGGCTCATTCTGAATGTTTGATGATTGCTCTAAGCACCCAGCACACTGGTTGTGAGCTCTGGAGTCCAGCAGAACTGGGCTCAAACCCTCACCCCAGCACTTACTAAGTATCTATAAAACAAAGACGATGATCATGGTACCCATGTCACTTGGTTTTTGAGAGATTCCATGTACAATTTAGCCAGTGCTTAACATAAAGCAAGCCTTCAAGTGAAATTGGCATTGCTGTTATTGTTTTGCATTGATATATCTTTGTGTAGGTCAATAAATCCTCTAATTTCCGTAATTCATTAAACCATTGATCCAGCATAACTCTAATTCCAATGTTAATAAGAATTGAGTGATAGACATATTAGCTTGATTTAACCCACAATGTATGCATTTATCAAAACATCACATTGTACATGGTAGATAATTTTTTTTTTTGAAACAAAATCCTGCTCTGTCACCCAGGCTGGAGTGCAGTGGTGTGATCACAGCTCACTGCAGCCTCAAACTCCCAGTCTTTAGTGGATTCTCCCACATTAGCCACCAGAGTAGCTGGGACTACAGGCATGAGCCACCATGCCTGGCTAATTTTTTTACTCTCCTGTAAAAATGGGGTCTTCTGATCTTGTCCAGGCTGGTCTTGAATGCCTCACTTCAAGCAATCCTTCCACCTCAGCCTCCCAAAGTTCTGAAGTTATAGGCATGAGCCACCATGCCCAGCCAATATTTGCATTTTTAACAAGTCCCCAGGAGATGCTGATGCTGTCGGTCTAGGCCCATACTTCGAAAACGACAGGTTTATACAATCTAAATATTAAACAGTTTTTTAATTGCTGAACTACTATGGTAAATTCCATAGGAATATAATTCAATTCGTGTCTGAATTGTGTCATTGGTTAATAGTGCTATTTAAGTTGTATTTGAACTTATAAGCTAATAATGTCGGTCCATTACCATTAATAGTTCAATGAACTGAATTGGATAAATAGAAATTGTCCAAAAATACTGGAGGTGTTATGTGTGGGCATAGCCCCAGGAGCTCCAAGACAGACTAGAAAAGATCCTAGGGCCACAGCCTAGGAGTGCTTCTGAAGGTCCTATTGTTGAACAGAGAGAGTGGGGAGAAGGCAGCCCAGCTCCCAGTTCTGAGACCTTGCACTGGGGGTGAGGCCAATGACCCTCAGGTGAGCCCTGTGTCTCCAAGGGCTGGGCAATAGAGGCCTGTGCTGGGAGGAGTTCCAGGTGCCCACCTGCCATGCTCCAGGGCTGATGCGCCTCCATGAGAGAAGCTAAACACCCCCTCTCCAGCCCTGCCGTCTCACTCAGATTCTCATCCTGCATGTCCTCATGTTCTTGGAGTCCATTCCAACTTCCCACAATCAAAAGAAGACTTGCTCTTCCCTAACAGCTCAGCGTCCCCTCAGTCAGGGAACACCCTCCCAGCACACAGATTAGAAAATCCAGCGACATCGAGGCACTGCCTTCCCTTTCCTGAGGCTGCTCTCTCCTCTCCATCCAGACCAACCCCCAACACCTCAGTCTGCCTCCCCGCTCTCTTCCCCAGATGCCCATCTCATCCTCCAGGACATGTCTCCTGTCCCCTACTTCTCCTGTCTCCTGTCATCCCTGGGATGACACGTGGTCTGAAGATTCCATATGAATTTCTTCACACGGAGGGTTTTCCTGAACAATCTGGCAAGTCCATTTATGTATGTTCCTGGAGTCAAGCTTTTTCATAAATTTTTTCTTCTTTTTTAATAGGAAAAAAAGGAGAGTAATTTTGAGTTTCTCCAGATTGGTAAAATGATGTGTGTCCTCCAGCCCTGGCCCATGTCCAGAGTGGCTGGCAGGATCAAGACATGACGGGGGCCAGCTCAAGGGTGTGGGTGGTGAGCCAGGAGTCTCACGTCCCTACCTCGATTTGGAATGACCAGCTTGCAAGGCAGGGCCAATGGAATGATAGAGTGCTGGTAGACCAGGGCAGACAGCGATCCTGCAGGGAAGCAGACAGCATGTCAGGGGCAGCGATACTGGAAGTCAGAGGGGAAACCTCCACCTCCACCCTCATCCCGATACACATGATCTTCCACTTCTTTGTTACTTCTACCTCAACCCACCAACAAAGCTGAAAATTCACACCCTCTTTTTAACAAGATCCAAAAGAGAAGATTCCCAAGGTTCACTCCAGCAGTCATAAAGTTACCTAACAACTTTCCTTTGCAGAAAGTTCCTCCTAACATTGCTCCTAACTCGCCCCACTTACTGGGGCTCCTCTGAGAACAGGGCAGAAGGATCAGAGAATTGTGGGATCCAATCCCAACTCAGTCACATCTCACCTGTTGGTTCTCAGGTAAGTGTAACTTTGATGACTCTCATTTTTTCATGTGTCAATTCCTCCCTATTAGGGAGGATGACCCCTATCAAACAGGATAGTTGTGAGGCCAGATGTGATAGAAGGTGCTGGGACAGTGACATTCACACGGTAGGTGGTCAATTAAGGCAGCTGATTTTACTATTGTTACTCCAGTTATAATGAGAATAAGTCCCAGCTGGGCAGGACAAATACAGAATGCAGTTTGGCAGAATTAGAAGCCGCACTGCAGAGGGAGACAAGCCTCCATTCATTTTCTCCGCTGATTTCACGACAAGGGTGGCTGGCAGAGCCTGTCAGAAAGAACTTGGAGGAACCCAGGACAGGGCCAAGACTCAGGCCAGACTGTAGAGACGGGGGCAGCAGGGACAGCTCACCGAAGTTTGGCTCATTGGGGCAACCCTTGAGCTTGACTCCTCTGGGGCCGGTCTCTATCAGAAAATGCCTGACCAGCTCATGGGTCATGTCTCCTGGGACAAAGAGAAAGACATGAGGCTCAGTCCCTTCCCATGGCTTCCTCCCACCACCTCCCAAGACTGCTTCAAAACTTCTGCAGTATGCAGGGCCAAGATGGGAGAAATGGCCGAAGAGAGAATGTGACTGGAGCCCCACGGACTGCAGCGCCCTCTGCTGCTCTCCCACCCCGCAGGAAACACATGGCAGGCGCCCAATCTCCTGCTTTCCCCATCTTTGACCCCAACCATTGCCAAGCCCAAGACACCCGCTTCCGAAGAGTCTGATGGGAGTTAGGGTCCTGTGCAGCACCCTGGGTCCCTCCAGCACCTCCAGGTTTAGCAACTGTAAAGCTCACCTTGTCCTGAGCCCCGTTCTGGGAGATGAGGTTACCTTTTTTATTCTGCTGCATGATGGTTGGAGGTGGCGAAGACACCTTCATGGCCAGCCCGTAGGCGCCTCGGAAGGAGTGACTGTCACGGATGATGAAGGCCCCGGGCTCCTGGTCCTTGAGGAGTGCGATGGCTGCATGGGGAAGGGACAAGGAGAGGGGAGGAAGCAAGACATTGGTGGCATTAGTTTTACTTAAGTCTCACTGAGCCTACCGACCTTTGTTCTTTCTTAGGTGAGACAACGTTCTTTGAAGTTAGAATTTAACTAGTCCTAAGGGTCTTCCTGTACTCCAGTTGGCAACCTTATTCTGTTGGGTTTTTTGTTTTTGTAAGACCGGGCCTCACTGTCACTCAGCCTGGCATGCAGGCACAATCATGGCTCACTGCAGCCTCGACCTCCTGGGCTCAAGGGATCCTCCCACCTCAGCCTCTCCAGTAGCTGGGACCACAGGCCACTGTTCAGCATGTGCCATTTTGCCTGGCTAATTTTCTTTTTTTTTTTTTTTGTAGATTCAGGATCTCACTATGTTGCCCTGGCTGGTCTTGAACTCCTGGCCCCAAGTGATCCCCCTGCCTTGGCCTCCTGAAATGCTGGGATGACAGGTGTGCGCCACCACACCCAGCTGGCAAACTTCCTCTATAAATGGTCAGAGAGTAAATATTTCACGCTTTGCAGGCCATGCAGCCTCTGCTACAACTACTCCACTCTGCCACTGCAGCAGGACACCAGCACAGAGAGGATGCAAGCCAGCAGGTGTGGGTGTGCCCCAATAAAACTTCATTTACAAAAGCAGGCAGCATCCAGATTTGACCCACGGGTTGCCGTTGCTGACCCCTGTCCCACACCCAGACAGGCTTCCCCTGAAAATCATTCCCACATTCCCAACTTTGTTCTCTCTGTCTGTAAAATGTAAAAACCTCCCACATCAGGCAGACAGAGAGCTACGGTTTCATGTTATCTTGGCAGACCTTTTACTTTGCCCAGGAAAACCAAGGCTTTGCTGTTTTTAAGAACCCTTCCAAGAAGTGTCTACAACCACTGCTTCTGTGTTCCCACACTTCACTGCGGGAAGTGCCTCCTACTGTCTAACTTCAACCCCAGCCCCCTCTGTGATGACCCCCTGCTACAAAGAGGACTGAATTTGCCTCTGTTCCTTGCCCAGGGAAGACACAGGAGGCCTCAGCCAGCTATGACCTCTGATGGACCACAGAGCCCAGCACTCACCCTGCTCCCTGGAGATCTCAGGCTTGTACCAATACTTAGAAGTGTCCTGGACAAACTTCACTTTAGCCCGTGTCTCCGGGCTGTTGTCTAAAGCAGGAGAAGGGAAGAAAGTGTTATGGGTTAAATTGTGTTCGCCCAAAACATACATCAAAGTCTTGACCCCAGTGCTTGTGAATTTGACCTTATTTGGATATAGGGTCTTTGCAGATGTAGACAAATTAAGATGAGGTCACGCAGGATTAGGGTGAGCCTTAATCCAGTATGCCTGTAGGCCTGGTGTCCTTACAAGGAGAGTAGACAGAGATACACACAGGGGAGAGCACCATGGAAGGTGCAGGCAGATACTGAGGTGATGCATCTACATGCCAAGGGACACCAAGGATGCTGGAGGCCACAAGAAACTGGGAGAGAGGTCTGGGACAGATTCTCCCCCAGAACATCAGGAAGGACCTAACATTGCCAACACCTTGATTTTGGACTTCTAGCCTCCAGAACTGTGAGAGAACACATTTCTGTCATTTTTAAGCCACTAAGCACATGGTCCTTTGTTATGGCAGCCCCAGGAAACTGACATCAAAAGCTGATGTCCTCGAACGCACAGTGGAAGGGACCTTCGGCCTCCTCATCCATCCCCTATCCCCTGCACGCCCTCTGGGTGGCTGAGCCACCTCCTGGTGGAGGGCCTGGCACTGCATTCTCGCAGAGCCCACCGAAAGCCTTCCTCCACCCCATGTCCCCCTTTCCCTAGAAGACTGTGACTAAACCCTTCCTGCGGCTTTTCTCCCACGGGCTAAAACGCTTGCTTCTAGAACCTTCCTCCACAGGCTCAGTTTCTCAACTTCAGCACACCCACCATGAAGATGAGGGCAGAAAGATCCATTTCTGCCCCCTGTTCCCCCAGGCCCCTCCTCACTTTCCACAGGGAAAGCCTATGTTCTGCATCACAAAGTACAAAAAAAACTCACTTCTCTTTGGATTAAACAGGTGATAGCTGGCCTAGAATCTAGAGGCCATCTACTGCATGTCGGGCACCCCGCTTCTCAGGCAGACAACACCCCCACACACACCCATGCCCAGACTCTTTGCAGACCTTGCAAATTTGTCGTAGAACATGAGATTCTGGAGGGAGCTCAGACAGGACAGAGTCCAACTGCCTAATTTTACATATAAGGAGAAATTCAGAGACGAGAAGTGACTTGCCCAAGGCACACAGATGGTGGCCTTGGTAAGAGGCCCTAGCAGCCAGTTTAGGACCAGCTAAACTGTATCTTCCTGTCTAAGCATCAGGATGTGTGGCCCTCACTCTCAACCTCTTCCTTCAGCTTTTGGCACCAAAGAAAACCAAAAAAAAGGGAGGGGAAATAGAAAGAGATAAGGATTCCACATTTTTCCTCTCCTGTCTTCAGAGACCGAAGCTGGCATGAAAGACACTGTAAAGTTAAGAGAGCAGATCAGGAGACACAAGTTGTGTCTCCAGTGCTTAGTCAGTTTCAACCTATGATTTACACTCCCTTATGCTTCTGGGATCTGTCTTCCGGCGATCGTGAGGGGAGAGGTCAGCTCCCTTTTCTGGCAGCTGTGTGCTGAAGAAGGTCTCTGGGTTAGGCAGCTGGGCCGTGCAACTGCTTCAGGCTGCCTTTCTCCGTCCGAAGCCCCAGGCCCCACTGCTGCCATGGCCTGTTTAATGAGCTGTCAGAGGCGGCTGCAGTCCCACATGCCTTCCTGTGTTGACTCCAAAGGCTATTTTAAGCAGGGAAGATGGTGGGAAACAGGAAGTGTCCCAGCTACTAGACGTTTTGCATCCTTCAAGGAGAGGGGCTGGGAACCAGATGTCCCCGGGGGGCGGCAGGAAACAGGGGGTGCAGGGTCATTCTAGGTGTCCTGGCTTGGCAGGCTCAGGGCAGGACCTGAGAGTGATACCAGGAGAATCTAGGCAGCTGGGGCCCATCTGAGGCGGCCCAAAACATTCTAAATCTGCCTCAAACATTCAGGGCCACGGTGCACACAGTCAAGTTAGAGGCTGGCCTTTGTGTTTAGACAATGAACTATCTAAGTAGAGGCAAAGGTGGCAAGTTCTGGCGATGGGTGAAGAATTCACTGCACAAACCTGCATGGGCTTTGATGAAGTTGGGTCTATGAGGAGTGATGTGGCCACTGCGGGGGTGGCAAAGGTATGGAGATCCAGGTTTGGAAGGCAGGTTTTCAAGGTCATGCTAAATAATGATGACCCCCCAAGATACGGACACATGATAAAGATAACTCCAATGATGCTTGAAGACCATTAGTTTTGGGGTGGCGTGGCCTGGATTGGAAGCCTGGCTCTGCCATTTCTTGACTGTATGATACTAGACAAGTGACAGAGCCTCTAAGCCTCAGTTTGTAAACTGGGGTTAATAATATTAATACCTACTTGACCAAGTGGCCAAGAAGCTTAAATGAGACAGTACTTAGCTCAGAGCCTGGCACACAGCATGTGCCCAGCAAGTGGTAATGGCTATGAGGATGATGATAATCATAACCGTAATACTATTCATCATTATTCTTTTTTATCATCCTCATCTGTATCTACATCCTCATCTCAGCATCCACAACCACAGCACACTTATGGGGAGGACACCTCCAACTCTCCTTATACAGATAAACTAAGTCCCAGAAATCAGTGATTCACCCAGGCTCGCCTGCCAAGGGAATGTCAGAACATTCACTGGGACAGATATTTCACTCTTGTACATACTTCATCAGCAGGAGAGGTGAAGATGGAAGTGGAGAGGCTCACCTGGCATGGAGTACTTGGAGAAGTCGGGCAGAGTGTGGGAGAAGGAGACAGTGCTGCCCCCGCTGGGACTGGACATGCCACTGGCGACAGGCGAAGACACCTTCCCGTTGATGGTGGCATAGTTGGGGAGGCTGCCTGCCCGGTCTCCCACCGACATCCTTCGCTTCTCTGGCAAGGCCGGTGTTGGGCTCCCTTGCCGGAAGGCTGCTGAGTCCGGCGACGGGGAGGTGGCAGGGCTGCTCAGGCCAGGGTAGTAGGCAGGGGAGACAGGGAAGGAGGGCGTGGAAGGAGCCTGGTAGCCAGAGGCACTGCTCTGCCGGGACACTGTGGGTCTCCGATCCTCGGGGGTAGAGTAGCCACCATAGGCCACATGCCGGTCCAAGCAGGGGCTGCCAGGAACCACAGATCCAGACCCTCCCAGGTGACGGCCCAGGCTGGGGCTTCCAGGGCTGGGTACTGCATTGCCATGGAGACCGGAGGCCAGGTTGCCTTGGTGAGTCCCAGGGTGCCGGCCCAGGCTGGGACTTCCGGGGGTGGTGGCCACATTGTTGTGGAGGCCAGAAACCTGGTAGGCCCCTGTTGGGTGCCGACCCAGGCTGGGGCTCCCCGGGGTGGTCGCTGCACTGCTCTGGGGGCTGGAGACCGTGCTACCATGGAAGCCAGTGCCTGGTGGACCCATCACCTGGCGATGGCTCAAACTGGGACTGCTGGGGGCAGCCATGCTGGGGTTGATGGCCCGCCGGCCGAAGCCAGGGCTAGGGGGAGTGTTGGTGCCCACTGTTCTGTGACGCGCCTGAGGGCTCCCAGGCACGGTGTGGACGCCAGCCACACTGAACTGAGCTCGGGCCTGGCTTTCTGGAGACGAGCTGAATTGCTGAAGTGAGTAGTCGGGGCTGCTGTAGCTACTGCCCACAGTCGGGAGAGGAGAAGAGCTCTGGTAGTTTCTCTGGGCAGACGGGCTGGGCTGTCCCAGGCTGCTGGAGCGGAAGCCAGACTCCAACAAAGGCTGGGTGGGCGTCCGGGGACCCTGGTCACTGCTCTCTCCGGATGGGAAACTCCCCACTGAAGTGCTGCAGAGAGATGGAGGGTTGCGATGTCAGCGGACAGAACTGAATGAAGGGTGGATTTACAGTGTGCTCTCTGCCCTCCCCTCCAACCACAAACAACAGGAAGAATGGGCCCACTGGCAGTGCGGCAGAACGTCAGAGTTTTATACGTTACCTTACAGAACCATCAGGGGAAGAAACTGAGGCTCAGGGAGGTTAAGCAGTAGGCTTAGGACCACACTGCTTATAAAAGACCAGGGTTTCAACTTAGCTGTGTCTGATTCCCAAGCCCACGTCTTCCCCACTGCACCATGCTCACTCCTGAGCCACGTCAAAGTGAAGAGCCCTCTCCTATCGAAACTGGAGGTGGCTGTCATGATAGAGCCTCCAGCATCACACAGATTCCCAGTGGAGTTTCCTGGCTGCTGTTCCTACTGGGGGTAGCCTTGCCTTGACTCAGTTTCCTCAAGTGTGATGTCATCATCCTCAAACATTGACTGAGAGTGCTAGACTGGGGCTTTCACTCCTGGATGGCTCCAAAAAAGCAAAGACAAGGAATCATAGGGGAAGGCTTCACATCAGGGGATTTCAGGTCATTATAAGGTCTGCTCTCCAGCCACTGGGAATGTGGCCACCAATGGAGAAAGCTGTCTTGTATGGTAATGAGGCTCCTGTCATTAGGAGCATTTAAGCAGAGGCTGACAGACTTACTGGCCTGAATGTTGTAGAAGGAATTTCCTGCATTGGGAGGTTAGATGAGATGAGCTCAGAGGTCACTACCAATTCCGACTCTGAGACAATTCAGTTCAGAGGAGACTATACCTGGGGTAATTGCCACAATCAAAAGTTCCCTTGTACAGTTAAGTCTAGGTCCGCATGGAGTGACATATGAGAGCACAGCAGCACAATGTGATGGCCAGTGAGTTTTTTGTTTGTTGAAGTTTTTCCATGTGGAACATGACAGGGCTGGATTAGCTGACCCTGACTCCTTCTAGACCCAAATTTCTATCCATCTATGGCGAGAGAAACAAAGGTGGACGGGGGCTTTGCATAAACTAGTAGCTGTGGGGAGGTAGCAGGTAGGCTGTGCACCGGGAACTCCCCATGGGGAGGGGTCCTTACTTAGCCAATGGGCCAAAACCTGGAGCTGCAGGCCGGAAGGATCTTGTGGTGGGCTGGCCCTCCCTGGGCCAGGTTGGATAAGCTCAGGTTCATGGGGTGATGTGAGGTTTTGGTTGGGAGTGTGCTCTTGGGCCAGGCAAGAGCCAAGGGTAAGGAGACGGTCAGAGGCCAGGCTAGGGCAAAGTCTACTTTGCATCCCAGAAGGCGCCAGAGCAGAAGGTCACCACCTGGTATAATCTAGAATAAACTGGATTCGGAGGAGTGCGAGACAGAGCCAGGCTAAGCAGGGCGAGAGAAGGAGACACTAAAATGGAGTTCTGGAAGGTTAATCCTAGGGGAGAAAGGCTAGCTTCCTGGAAAGGGCCAACACTTCAGCAGGAGGGATTTGAGTGAGAAACAATGAACAGCTTGCTAATGCCAGGGCTCACTGAGCACCAACAACGGTGGTGGCTGGGGCAACTTAGGAAAATCCCCTTTCCTTTAAAACAGGAAATGCAACCCTCTGCTGGAGTCAGGCCTCCTGAGCAACGCAGCCTGCTGCCTGTTAAGAGGCTGGGGAGGGGGAATGCTTGGCTTAGAATCCAGAAGACAGCTGCCTCCGCTCATCTGCTCCCCTAGTCTTCCCATGGTACCCCCGCTTGCAGGGGAGGCTCAGCATTGAGCCAATGTAGACAGTGCAGCAAACTGGACCCACTGGGCCTGGCAGGGGAATTTGCAGGCCCTGTGACATCCCAGGCTAGGGAGGGCAGTGGGCACAGTGAAGAAGGGATGGTCAGGGCAGAGTCTCCCCTCCTGGGGGGCGACACCTCCTGGATCCTCCTCCTTTGCCTGGCACTCGATGCCTCGCCTGAGCTGATCGCAACCCTCCTTTCTTATGTTGTCATCCCATCTCTGTGTCCCCTCCACCTTCACCCCCACTGCCCCAGTCAAGCAGCTCCTTGCCGCACCCCTCCACTGAGTCTGTCAGCAGGGACTGTCCACCCAACTCTGGGCTTTCATCTCTGCATGATGCAATCAGAAATATGAACGCCAGTCGTCCATCCACCGAGGCACCCCCTAATGGCAGGCCACATGCCCTCAGCATCACACTCCCAACGTGGCCACAGCCCAGTCCTCTGTCCCTGCTGGGCTGTCCTTCTGGAATGCCCTCTCTCTCTTTCTTCATCTTTCAACATCCCGCTAGTTCCTCTGGACCCTCCACAAATGCCTCCAGCCCTCAGAAATCCTCCCTGCATCCCTAGCCAGAAATAATGGCCCCTTGTTCTGAGCTCCAAGCCCTTTACTCATGTGTGGGCTTTGGGCCCATTTGACTCTCATCGTGTGCAGGGAGGGCGCCATGACGCAGGTCTGGGGCAGAGGACAGAGATGTGGGCTCTGGAACCACACGCTTCCACCTGAATCCGATTTATGCCACTGCTTAGCTGCGGGACCTTGAGCAAGCTACTGCACCTTTATGCCTCAGTTTCCTCGTCTGAAAAGTAGGAACAATAACAGTGCTCACCTCCTAGGATTGCTGTGAGGATTAAATAACTGCATAAAGCACATAGCAAAAGTGCCTGGTACCTAGGATGAGCCCACGATATAAGTCATTACTGTTGGTAGATTTTCAACTTGGAGAAGGACTTTGCCGCATTCACCGTGGTAAGCCTCACTCCTTCCCGCACAGTTTTGGATGGGCGGAATTGAATGAGGCCTGGCAATTATAGGTCACTGGGCTCCCCACAGGATTCAGCACGCAGGACACGTGCCCTCAATGCACCTTGATGAAGTGGTTTGCAAGGTGCCACCATCCGGGTATGATTTCTGCCTGTCCATGCCACAGGCAACAGATCCAGGAGGCCTCACCCATCCCGTCCCAGTCCCAGGCCTGGATTCTCATCCCCCACCCACTGCCCCTTCCCAGCTTACCTGTCAGCACTAAGGATGGGGCTGCTGGTGGAGAGGGGGCTGGGGGAGACAAAGGATCCACCCAGGGTCCCGTTCCTCAGGGGTATCTCGTGGCCATAGGCCTGGGCGGCTGGAGCGCTAAAGCTCTTGGGCTCAGAGTCCTGAGCTCGGGGCCCAGCCACAGCTGTCCGTGCCACAGACTCCACATAGCTCCGGGGCTCTGGAAGGGGCAAGGGGAAAGAGACTCTGAGCACAGATCCACAGGGGTGCAGTGCAGGGCCCACCCAACCTCCCCTGGAACACAGCCTCCCGGACTCCTGCCTGGGAACATAGGAATAGCCCCCAAAGGACAGGAAAGGCTCCTGCCTGCCCAGACCCACCCTGCCCTGCAGTGACCTTTCACCAGGGCCTTGCTCAGAGGAGGGGGCTCTGAAATGGATCCCAGGCTCCGCCTCAGAATATGGTCATCAGAGACTCTTCCCTCCAAGAACTAAGAGTCTGTCCACAGCTGGCACCCTCTTTGGCTGCTCTCTTTCTTCAGTGATCTTGCTCATTGAAGGCCCTTCCAGGTTCTCCTGGTGCCACTAGAGTCTGAGGCCCTACAGCGGGCCCAGAGGTCCATCCCCGCCTTGCCTGTATCCCAGGACAGTGCCAGAGTTCATGTGAGCTCCACCCCCTACCCAGAATCCAGAAACAGCCTTAGCCACCTAGCAACAGGCCTGCATTGGTGAGACTTGCCCTGTGGGGCTGCTGTGGACTCACCAGTCCCTTCCATGCCGAGACACACCCAGGCCTCTCCGCCTGACACACTCAGCATTCCTCTAGAGACTAGCGTCAGGGAACCCCATTCCCAGGCGGAACTCAACATTCCATCGCCCACCTCGGGCATTCCTGTAGCACCAAGCAGTTTACAGAGGACCTCATTATACACGGCCCTACCTGGTGTTCAAAACGGCCTAAGAGGAGGGGGTGGGGGACACATGCTAGAAAAGGCCACTTTACAGATGAGGATACTGAGGCCTGGCAAGGGAAATGACTAGGTCCCAGATGGCCCGACTCCCAGACCAGCACCTGCCTGACTCCTCTAGGGCCTCTGAGGCTAGCTCCTAAACGAATTCCATTTGAAAAAGGAAGAAGCAGCAGAACACTTTTATTTACCCCAGGCCATGGTCGGGGAGGGATGTCATTCCTACCACCTCCACACCCCGCCCTGTCCCTGTCTTACCCAGGAGGAACCTGGCCTGAGTACAGAGCCATACTGCCCAAACTAAGTCATCCACTGAAATCAGCCTGAGAAACTGAAGAACCAGAGTCTGTGCAGCCCTCAGGAGGCCAGGCCCCTGCAGCCCCCGCTGGCCAAGACAGTGATGGTAAGAGTTGGAGAAGAGCCCCCTCCTCCAGGTCCCTCATGGGTGACAGGCCTGTGGTCCAGCTGGCTGAAATGCAACCTTCCTCCCCTTAGCCCAAAGAAAACCTTAATTTGGAAGGAGCCTCGTCACCAGGGTGCTAGCGGGGCATTTCCAGCCTTGCTGCCTAGGGGCACAGCCTCCACGGAGTGGCTTCTGGGGTGGCCCCCAGGTCTGACATCCTACACCCAGGCCAGCGGCCTCTCTGGACACCGGAAAAGAATGGTCCCTCAGCACAGGAGCCTTTACAGAGCAGATCCCAGAGGCTGCAATGGAGTCTGCACACAGCTCCAGCCACAGCCTACCCATCTGCCTTTTGTCCCCACACAGAGCCCCCTCCACCCGACAGCAATGACAGTGGACAAGGCTGGGGTAGTTTGTCTGCAAAGAGACAGGCACGGGTGGTCTATTCTAGGTACCAGGCACAGGGTGATGTAGATCCAGGCACCTCAGCACCCAAAGCTGGAATCCATGTAGGCAGTGCCAGCAAGACCTCCTCGAAAGCCTCCCTCAACCAGCCCAGGCCACCCACTCCCCTCACAGAAAGCCCAGGCCAATTCACACCAAAGGCATGGATTCTGTGCCACCCAAGCATGAGGCTCTGCTGGAACTACGAGACAATGCAGAGATCCCCTGAGCAGGCCCAGTACACTTTTTTGTAAAGACTTAGTAGTAAACATCTTAGGCTGGTGGGTCAGGCTGTCACTGTTGCAACTACACAACTCTGCTCTTGTGGTGTGAGAGCTTACATAGACAATAGGACAGTGAATGGGCATGGCTGGGTCGCAATCAAACTTTTTTTTACCAAAATAGTCAGTGGGCGGGATCTGACCAGCTGCCACGGTGTGCTGACCCCTGATCTAACCTGTCTCCTCAGCCCAGAGAGGTGGAGCCATGTGCCCAGGACATATGGATAATTAGTGGCAGTGAACACTAGCACCAGAATCTCCAGACTCACAAGCTGGCTCTGGATGACCTAGACAGGGCCCATAGGCTCACAGGACACCCAGAGCTGGCTCTATTCAGCACTCCAGCCCATCAGCCAGAGAAGAGCCAACTCCACAGGGTTATTCCTAATGATAAAAAGAGCAAACAGTTATACAGGAAAAGTAGGATTCAGGGGGTGTAAGTACCTTGCCCAGGTCACAGCTGGCAAGGGGCAGAGTCGGCCGAGGAACCCAGGCAGTCTGGCCCCGACCTGCCCTTACCTACTGCACATGCAACCCTCTGCAAGTCGGGGAGCCAATAGTTTCAGTGAGTGCTTCAGTCTCGAGCAACTGGTAATCCAGCTTGGGAGAAGAGATCATCAGAGGGAGTCTCACCCACAGCCATGCAAATAACACCCAAGGTCAGAGTCCACTGTCCCCTCCCGTCTCTTGCCACCCTAGGTCACTCTCTGAAAACTCTTCCCAGACCCTTCCAGGCACTCAGCATAGCTTCGCCCGGGTCTCCACGGCTCTCGGAACCCCTTCTCTCCCAGCCAGGGAGACAAAGCCACTCTTTGGCTGCCCGTGGGCTCCCAGAGCCTGCCTAGCTGATCTGTGTGCCGAGACCTCACACAGCACCTGGCACACAGCAGGCCCTCAATCTGCATGTGCTCCACAAAGTCACAGAAGCACGACACTTACCCTCCAGCCCCATCCAGAGACACACAGTAAGATCTCAGAGGCCACATCCATTTTTCTCACTCCCTAAAGTTCAAGTTGAAACCTATATGAATGATACTGTGAAGGTCTGTGCTCTTCTCCAATCCACTGACATCGCTCCTGATCCGCTCTCTACCCTGATCTGCGTTTCTGGAGGCTGACTTCTAGTTACTATGTCATCCAGACCCCCTTACTCTCTGGCTCAGGACAGCTTTGGCCTTTGGCTAGTAAGGAGGGACTGGCAGGGGATGAGGGAGGGAGACAGAAGAGCAAGGTGCCAGTGGCTACATCCCCTCCCCATCTCCCTCTAGCCACACTCCAGTCAGCGGCCCTGCCCTCCAGCTCCCTCCTGGTTCCTGAAAGCCTGGGATGATGGCTCCCTGTTCCTGATAGGGAGCACTCGGGGTGCTTTACCATCCCTCACTGCTCTGCCCAGACCTTTTAAGAGTCCATCAACTGTCCTAGGTTGTTCCATTGGAATGAACTATCAGTTTCCCGCCATGCCCTTGACCCACACATTAGGTAAGCAATTCCCATTGCCCTATGCCCCACCCCTTTAAGGAAGTACAGGTACCCCTTCTAGCAACTGTAAAACTGAGATAAAGTGGGCCGCACAACTCCATCCTATAGTCTAAACACAGGCACCTGAGCTGCAGCCTGGAGTCTGCGGGTAAGATGGCATAGAGGGCCCATGGGACAGTGTATTAGAACCCTGAGATGGCTCGATAGGATGGCCAAGTTCTTTAGGCAACAGTCCCATTGGCCCCTTCAGCTCCTAAACTGCAGAACACCAGAGCAGTTCTCAAGACACTGGGAGTCTGAACTTGGGGAACAGGATGGCTCGCCCAGGGAGAAGCAGCTGCATCCATTCCCACCACAATGTTGGAAACAGCCCTTGTGCCTTGGGTGGCCAACCTAGCCAAGGCCACTCAGACCCAGCCCCACCTGGCCCTGCCCTCACCGGGCCCCCACCTCCTTTCTCCTTCCCAGCACATCCTCTTCCTTGGTCAGCTGGTCTGCCCTCCGACTGCCACCCCTACCTGCCCTTCCAGTCCCACACCATGGGGTGGAGATGAACGAAGCCCTTTCATACAATCTCTACTCCTCATGAACCCAGAGCAGGAAGGACCTTTGAGAAGTTATTTGATTTCCTGAGTTCATCTCCAGAACTGTTTAAAACCCATCTTCAGGGCTAAACATCAGTTTTCCCAAGTTTTCAGATGCAGATTTCCACATTGAAAATGCTTCCTTTTTCTGTCTATTCCCTGGCTCTTTCTCTCTCTCCCACCCCAGGACAATATACTTCTACTTGCAAGCTCTCCCCTCACCCACCACCCGTGCACTTACTAGAGACTTTCTGGGACTCAGTTTCCTCATCTGCAAAGTGGGAATGAGGATACCCACCTGCCCGGCTAGGATCGGGTGAGAAGAGACAGGAAAGTTCCTCCTAATTCTTTCTTGCCAATCCCAGGCCCGGTGTTCAGAACCACTGCTCCTAGCCGCCCATCCCTGCCTTCCTCCACTCCTCACTCGCACCACCTCTCCTGCTGTTTTCCTCCTTTCCTCCAATCCTGGAGCAGCTGCATCATCAGAGGCTACAGGGAGTTGGGCAGGGCGGGAGAGGTGGGGACAGGGAGGGTACTTCATGTAGAACATTCCAGGAGCCCAAACCCTGCCAAGTGACTGCTGGCGGTGGAGAGCAGCTGCAGCACAGGGTGACTTGGGCTCCTCCAGTCTGGCACTGTCAGCTCCTCGTCCACACCCTGAAGCGTATTTTCTGTCTCCCCAAAGAGGCTCTTTGCTTGGAGAGAAGGGGCACACCCACTCTAAGTTAGATCAAGACATGTGGGTGAAAGAGGAAGAAGGGAATATGGAAACCCCCAGGTCCCAGATCTAGGAGCTCAAAAGTTAGAATTCCAAACCTTTTAGATTGGGCCACATGCCCCCTCCTCCCAGCCCCCATGCCATCCTATTCCTACCCCGGCTCAGCACTTTTGCCTAATATTGAAATGTCTGTTGGCATCACTCTCCTCACCAGCTGCCTTATGCATCCTTATATTCCCAAAGCCTGGCACACAGTCAGTGCACACAATATTAAGAATAAATGAAGCAATGAATGAAAGAATGAATGAATGTAAAGTGTTTCGCACAGCGCCCGGGACATAGCAGACATCCCTCAAATTCTTCTTCTCCCCCAGCTGAATAATCCTGCCTCTGGCCATTTTTGCCTCACGGGCATTTTTTTCTGAATTTCCCATCAAAGTATCAGCAGGGAAATCAAGTGGAGCCTCAGAGGGTCAGCAAAGAATGAGCTTTAGTCTGACCAGGGCTATGGCACATGAGTCAGGAAATAAGGAACTGGCTGCCCACAGCTTTGCTCCCTGCCCCTTCCCCACTCCACTCCCCAGACCATGGGCAGCAATTCCAACTCCCACACTGGAATCCCAGGGCACGGTGCCTGCAGGCCTGAGAAGAGCTTTGAAACAGCCACTTGAGGAAGAGACAGGAGACCAATAACTCCAGTCTGGCTACATTACCTCCTAACTGTGACCTTGGGCAGATCCCCCAACACCACCCACGGTGCTGATGTCAGCTGCATATCTGTGACAACAATGGGTGTGGCTGAGTTAACCCCTAAGCACCTTCCCCTCCAAACTCTGTGGCTCTGGCCAGAGCACTTGGGGCCCTGTAAGATGAGAGTCATTCAGGAGGTGCAGTTAGCAGATAGTTCTGTTCTATCGAGGCCCACGCCCCTGAAGTCACCCCAAAGTGAGAGACAATCACCAGGCCCTGCCAGCTTGCTGGATAGTCCACTGGAGAGTGTTTGGGATACCACGGGTCTAAGTCAACCAGCTTCGAGGAGAGCTGAGAGCCTATTGCATGGTCCGGCATCTGAAGCACAGGAACGTTGGCTCTGAGCTCTAGCTAATTCTAGTTTCTCTCTCCCAGCTCCTGCCCTGCCAGGAGCAGCGGTCAGCCTCCAGCTTGGGAGAAAGCCCTTTCCCCAGGCATGAGGCTGCAGGGGAGCGAGGAGGGGCCGTTCTCAGCAGAGGGACGCATGCTGTGGCCCACCTACTCTGTCTCTGGAAGCTGCCCTGTTCTGCAGCCCCCCAAGCAGCCTGATGCTGTTGCCCAAACCCCAGCTGGTTAGGAGAGGGCAAAGTCTTCTGGGAAACTCCAACCATCCTAGCTGGGTGACAGCAGATTTAGAGGGGCACAGGCCATGCCCGCTTAGGGGGTGGAAAATCGAGGTGGTGTGTACAAAGGAAAGTGGGAAATAGGCCTGAGAAAACCAGCCAACCGGCCCAGGGCCCAGGTGGGAAGTCAGAACACCTAACCCGTCAGAACTGGAAGTGATCACAGCACCCACCTTGCCCCATCTTCCTGGTAGAGATGGGGATGCCAGTGCCCAGAACCAGATGCTGGTCTCCCACCCAGGTTGGCACCCACTTTGTTTCACCTGCTGGTTTGAGTCCTCACTCGAGTTCTGCTCCTAGTGAGTCCAAGGCCTCCCACCTGATTACGCCCCCTCTCTGCTTCCCTGGTGCCCAGTGCAGGGCTCATTTAAATCAGGGGTTCATCTGGGACCCACAGACATGCCAGCTCCTTGAAACTGCTTTTCAGAATTACTTGCATGGGAATCCCAATGCGTTATTGTATACATAGTGAGTCCATAGATTTCCTGAAATACGCAAAGTTGTCTGAGATTCCCGAAAGACAGACCCGGTACTTTCAGTGTTGATAGGAAACCAGGCAGGGCTTCCAGAGGGCAAATCATGGCTCTAAGATGGGGTCTCTGAACCAGGAGAATTATCCCCCCAGGGGACACTGGCAATGCTGGAGACATTTTTGATTGTCATGACTGAGTGAGAGCTACTGGCATCTAGCAGGTAGAATCCAGGGACACTGCTAATCCTCCCACTGTGCACAGGGCAGCATCCACAACAAAGACTCATTCAGGGCCGGGCACAGTGGCTCACGCCTATAATCCCTGCACTTTGGGAGGCCAAAGTGGGTGGATCACCTGAGGTCAAGAGTTCAAGACCAGCCTGGCCAACATGGTGAAACCCTGTCTCTACTAAAAATTTTTAAAAAATTAAAAAAAATTGCTGGCCGTGGTGGTGCATGCCTGTAATCCCAGCTACTCAGGGGGCTGAAGTGTGAGAATTGCTTGAACCCGGGAGGCAGAGGTTGCAGTGAGCCAAGATTGTGCTGATGCACTCCAGCCTAGGCAACAAGAGCGAAACTCCATCTCAGAAAAAAAAAGGAGTCATTCAGGCCAAACTGTCAGTGGTGCCAAGGTGGAGAATCTCTGCTCTGAGAAATGCCTGTGGAGCACGCCCTGGGAAAGGGGATCTGAGTCCCTCCCTGTCTACCCCTGTGAGTGGCTGCACACCAGGCAGGCTGGCGCAAATGGTGCTGGGAGAGGAAGGTGCAAGAGGAGCGTTTGGGTCAGCAAGGTGACATTGCAGGAGCCCCCAGACACTGACTGCGCCTGTGCCTGGCAGCTACAAGCTCCTCCATCAGGACTCAGGAGGTGCCCAGGGTGATATCTCATCACCAAGCGTTGAGGGATAGGAAGGCCATGTACCTGGTCACCTGAGTTCCAGTGAAGAAAGAGAGCTGCCTCCAGCCAGCCTCTTCAAGCCCTGCATGAAAAGCCATTTCCAGACCCAGAGAGCAGGAAGCCACAGCAAATGCCACTTACCTTCTGAGAGCCTGACCACCACCTTCCCCTCATCTTCCTCTGAGGGAAGATGAGAAGAGAGATGGGAGGAAGGAGAGGCAGGAAAGAAGGGCAGGTGGTGAAGATGAGGAAGAGCAAAAAAGGAAAAAGAGAGAAAGATATTAACAGGGATTATTTCTTGAGAAAGAGAATCTGTGGAGAAAAGGGAGGTGGGAAAGCTGGGTGAGGCCAGGGCCAATTTGCGCTGTCCACAGAAGGGCTCCAAGGGGAAGGCCGAGGCCCTCCCTGCACAGGACCCCAAGGCTCCAGGGCATAGTTGAGCTCCTGACTCTCAGGAGCCTGAGCCCCTCACAACCCCCGTGCCCAGGGCTCTGTGGGCCGAGTGTCAAGCAGGAGTGTGCTGGCTGGTGAGAGGCAGCCGCTAGCCCCCTTCTACTGACCCCCCGTGGCTCAGTGTCCCTGGCCATGCTGACACTCTGAGTGGGAGGCTGTGCCCAGCTGTGTAGCTTCGTGGGTCACAAATGCATGCCACTGCCCACCTACCTGGCTGGATACATCTTCTGGTAACTAAGGAAAAAAGTAAAGTTGACCCCAGGAGCCCCCACCCAGCCCTAAAACCAGAGCCCAGGGAGCAGCTTTCTGAGTTCAGTGGCCCCACATGGCCACCAAGGGCCCAGGGAGCCCTGTCTCCCTCCACCATAGGAAGGAGAGGAGCTGGGAAATGGGAGGAGGAGGTCAGAGGTGTGAACCTGGGGTGGTGTCTGCTCAGAGGAGCACCTTCTGCCAGACAGGCCCAGGGCCCTGCCCTCTACCGTGCCAACAGGACCGGCTGTTTGACCCCAGGGAGGCCGGGCAACCATCCTCCTTCCTTCCTCAGAGCTTGGGGTGCTCTCCTCAGCAGCAGGGTAAGATGCAGCCAGCATCGGGAATGGGGATGGGGGATGAGCACAGGCCGGAGAGAGTCAGAAGCCCGGAGGTGGCAGGTCTTTGAAAGGCAGGAGAAGACCTGGGCTGGGGGCAAGGGGGTCGAGGAGATGGCAGCCAGTGATGGCCACTGCCAGTCATGGGTTTCTGTGGTAGGGTTCTGTGGGCCTGAAGAGGCAGACCAAGAGACCACTCTGAATGCCAAGTGATGCCTCGTGGATGCCAGGTGAATGCCTGTCATGCCTCGTGGATGCTCAGAGCAGAGCCAGCTGGGCTGCCAGCAGAGGCCCTGGCACAGAGCAGCAGGGGCATGCTTCTCTGACTGTGTGTGAGTGTGTGTGTGTACGTGTGTGTGTACCCATGTGTGCATGTGTGTGCGCCCATGTGCATGTACTCAAGGGCCTGAACACCTCGAATGTGTGGCTTCCAGCAGAGATCTCCACAACACCAAGGAAACTGAGACCAGGCCTCCAAAGCCCCAAGCTAGAGGAGGATGGAAGTTGTGCCAACTCCACAAGTCAACAGGCAGGAAGGCTGCAAGGAAATCTGTCACCCGCCAACCCTACAGAGAGTCCTCACCCAGGCCTGATGTCAGCATGGGCACAAAGCCAGCTGCTGACCGGATTCTGAGGCCCGGGTTTCTGTCCAGAACCACAGGAGTCCTCCTCCCCCTGACCCCCCTCCCCATCTTCCCTCTTCCCAACTCACCTCCTGTGGGGTGCAACAGGATGTCTGCTGGGTTGTGGGGTTTCAGGCCCAGAGCAGACAGGGGTGTCTTGGCCAGACCCGGGGGGGACCGCACTGTGCCAGGAAGAAGAGGGGAGACACAGGGAGTGAGAGGTGGGCAGGAAGGCAGACACACCAGGCATGTGAAGGCTGTGGGACCAGAGATGGTGCCGAGGAACCACCCTGAAGCCCAGCGCTTTGGCTCCACTGCCCTTTCCTGTCTGCATTTCTCCACGTTTCAGCAGTTTAAAGGATAGAGGGAAAGATTCAGGAAATGGCAACCTTGTCCTGGCTTTGGCCCCAACCTTGAGAGAACCATTTCCACCCCTAGGCCCTTAGCTTCTCGGTGCGGTCCCTTTACTTTGCAATGGCTTATAACACACATGCAGGCTTCTGCAACTGTCTCTGACATTCTCTATAATAATCTCTCATCCCTCTTCCTCTCCCCACCCAACGTGCGTGTGTGCAGACACACACACACACACACACACACACACACAGTCCATTTAAAACATGCACTTGGATGGATTCAGAAGAGAACAGAAGAAAATTGGGCCTCAGGATGGCACACCCTGTAAAGGACAGAGACAGAAGGAGATAATGGGCCAGGGCTATGCCAACCCTAAGACCTCAGGCCAGCCCTTGGCCAAGTATGTCCCTTGAAAAGCCCAGGAGAGAACTTCTCAATGTGGGGCTCTGTCCCCCTAAACCTCAGTGTCCTGGAAGGAGGAGAAGGCTGCAATCTGTGGCCAAGAGCACCTACTCCCTATGCAAAGCCTGGGCTCCTCCCAGGCCACGCATCTGGGTTACAAGTGTCATGTAACACGCAAGGTCAGAAAGGGCTGCTGGCTTTTTCCCATTAGCCAAGAACCCGGCCAGATTCGGAGCTGATCTGCAGGGTGGCTGTTATGCCCAGTCACGAGATACCTGGGTGGCAGCTGCCATGTCTCCTGACACAGCTCTGAGAAGGAGTTAAAAAATGAACTCTGTGTCTCCTATCAGCGACATTGGGAGCCTGCAGAGACCACAGCCCCAAGGACACTCTGCCTGCCGAATGGCCTCAACAGATTAGCCGTGGCCCTCAGATGCCCAGGAACCAGCAGCAGCAAAAGCTCCACGACCCTCCCTGCCCCTGCTGCTTGCCCCAAAAGACAGTGAGACCTACAGGAATCTTAGAACAATGAAAAAATACACTCTCTCTCCATGCAAGCAACATACATAACTCATCCGTGCAGGTGAACACCCACATGCACATGCGAACAGGAAGACATCACAGGGGTCCGGATGGGTGGCCCACCCCTGCCCTTCACCCTCACTCTGTCCTTGGATGTCCAAAGGACAAACACAGCATAGGGGACAAATGGGTACAAACATACACCTCCAGTTATGGGATAGGTCTAGGCCTCACGTCTCTGTCTATCCTCCCTCTGTCTTTACATACACACACACACACACACACACACACACACACACACATAGATGTACACACACAGATTCTGTTTCTACCACTGCCACACCCCCTCTTCCCTATCATGGTGTCTTGCTCATAGACACCTATCAAACACTTATTAATGTTTGTCAAACCAATGGCGATTGAATGAAATTAATTATGAAATAATACACCTGGCCTCAGAGACAGTCGTTCGTGGAATAATCACGAAGCAGCCCCAGCCCACAGGTATGTGCATGTTTAACCAACTGGTGCAGCGGAGGCACAGGTGGGCCCACGAGGAGGTGAACGAGACGAGAGGACCAGACAGGGCAGGAACTCTCTCTTGGTTCCTCCCTTGTTCACCTCCAGCTCCTGAATTCCTCATTCCCCCGGTTCCTGGGCAAGTGGGCCCTTCTGCTGAGGCAGATGAGTGGGCGACACTAAAGCCAGGCAAGCCTTTTGCTTCCTGAGAGAAAAATTCCACACGTTTCTCTGCCTTCGGTCTTCTCTCCCTAACCCTGTGTGTCTGTGGAACCTCTGACTTCTTCTCGCCAAGGCACCCATGGCTGGCCAAGAGGAGGGAGAGAAGGTGGCAAAACCCAGTTCTAGCACAGCCCAGGTGGCTCCCACCCCAGGCAGGGTGATGCCCTTTCCCTGGCCATTTAGGGCTAACAGTGAATGGAAGCAGATGTCAGCTTGGAAAGTGAAGGCCTGGGAGAGAGGTTCCCCGCGGCCACAGGAGGCTGCAGCGTTGACTCTCGTGTCACCTGCTCTAGGTTCACCCTGTCCAGCACAGCAGCCACAAGCTACACATGGCCGCAGAGCACTTACAGAGTGACTAGAGTGAACGGAGATATGCCATAAGTGTGAAACACACACCGGGTTTTAAAGACTGAGTATGAAAAAGAACACAAAACATCCCATTCTTTTTCACATTGATTATATGTTGAAATGCTAATATTCTAGACTGGGGTTAAATAAAACATAGTAAAATGAATTTCACCAGTTTCTTCTTACATTTTATAAGAGATTGTAAAATAGCTCAATATTTTTATTGACTTATTTGCCTATTGAAAGGATATTTTGGATTTAACAAAAATGTCATTAAAATTAATTTAGCCAGTTTCCTGTTATGTTTTTTAATGTGACTACTAGAGAAATTTTATTATAAATGTGCTCATATTATATTTCCATTGGACAGTACTGCTCAAGGGAGAGCCACAGCTTCCAGGGGCCGCCAATCAGTCACAGCTTCAGCCTCCTCATGCCCAAGATGGCAGCCAACACAAGTTCTGCTGGCACATGGGCCACGTACATTGCCACATTCCTTTCCAGTACAGGACAGCCAGCCCCCAGGGGAATGTACAGCCAGCTCCAGTTCTCCCTCCTCTCGCCACTGCCAGTGGATAGCTTGGGCCAGGCCCAGCCAACCTGATCCCTGAACAGCACCAGTGTCTCCTTCTTGTGCTGACCCAGGCCTCTCCTGAGTACACTGAGTCCCTCGCGGCCTGGTATTAATCCATCACTTCCTTCCCCACAACCACCTCCTCCAGTTCCTCTTCATGTCTCTTCTATAAAAAGGAACACTGCCCCATGCCTCGGCTCATTTGGGTCTTGGCTTTAGGTGGACGTGTCTCTGTCCTTTGGGGATCTGCCTCCCCAGTAAGTGTATAGGGGCTGGGGGCTAAATGCCTCTGCCTGGAGGCCAAGGATGGATAAGCTGGGGGCTGTGTCAGCCTGAGGGTCCTGGGTCCCTCTCTCCTTGGTAGAAGCTAAATAGGTTGCCTGTAATAGAAGAGGTGTCTGGATACAGGCAGAAATGGAGGTCAGAAACAAAGCCAAAGTCAAGTCACAAAGAGTCACGCTAAGATGGTGGGGTCTTTTGAGTGTGGACGGTAACAAGACTCTAAACAAGTAAGAAAACTCTGCAATGTGGGAGCCCAGAGTCCCACGGTCACTCAGTCTGGACCCTAAAACTCGGGCGGCTGCACCCTTAGATGTATGAGCGTGGACGATGGGGAAGACAATGGCCACAAGCAATGGAAGAGAAGGGGCCATGGGGGTGAGGAGCAGCACATTCTGGCCCCACCTGGGGCACTGTCACCTCCAACCCTCAGGCCTGGGGCACTCCCACAGGCAGGGTTGAGCTGAGGGGCTGAAGGGGACACAGGGAAGACAAGCTTCACAGGGAATTCTTACCCCCACTCGGCGGTGGGCTGCTCGGGGAGGTTCCCTCCATCTCCTCGAAGGCCTCCTTGTAGCTGTGCAAATGGGGCTGTGGGATAATACGGGCAGAAAAAGAGGGAAACCATGAGAAGGAGAAGTTTCCCCTTCAGATGACCTGGGGTATGAGGACAGTGAGTTAACCAGCCCCCAAATCCCCTCGTCAGACTGGCTCCTCACTGGTGCTCAGGGCAGGAGAGAAAAGATATCCACAAGCCCCTTCTATACAGAATGACTCATTAGCCTGGCTTTTATAGGCCAGTACACTCGCTCCCTCAATGTGGCCCATGGACCACCTACATCTGAATCTTCCAGGGCACACATTTAGAATGCAGATTCCCGGGTCCCATCCAGATCTACTACCCTGGAATCTCTGGAGGAGGATTTGGGAAGCTACAGTTTTAACAAACTCCCTTTTGGTTTACTCATGCTGTAGTTTGAGACTCACTGCCTTCAACTACTGAAATGTCTTAGAAATGCAAACCTTTTGGAATGAAAATTAAAGCTCCTGAGAAAAACCTTATAACTGCAAAGGGTTCAAAAATAATTTTTCCCCTCTCCAGGATCTAGTTTGGAGTTTTGAAATTGTGTTCACCTATATCATGCCCAGGATTCTTACCACCTTATTAAGGTACTCTCTAGGAATCAAAAAGGAAACTTCGATCTCAATATTAATGCAAGAAGTAGGGACTTAAAGCTATTTAAGGAAGGAAATGGGCCCCAGATTCCACACGTCAGAGAAGAGAGTTTGGGTGAGGACGCAGGGGGTACAGATCACTGAGTATACTGACATCAGTGCCAAGTTGCCCATCAGGTTTCTGGAGATTCCCTCTGTGGCCCCAAGATACAGCTTAAGGACTCACCTCTTTGGGCCGCCCTCCAGGATTGAGAGCGATGGTAAGAGCCAGCTCGGGGGAGACACACTGGACAGGGGAGCGAACCCCAGGGCTACGAGGGGATGTGGCTTCTGGAGACTGGTTCTCATACTGTCCATCACTGGCCGCCCGCCTCCGCAGAGGGGCTGGGGGCTCTGCAGGCTGCTTCTCCCGAGCCTGCACCCCTGGGAGGAAAGCAGGGTGTAGAGGACAATGAGCGTTTTGTGTAAGAAATGATCCATCGGCCTAATCCCTTCAGAGAAGGCAGTGCCTCCTAGCTCAGAGGCCAAGCTGGGGCTGGCCTGCCATCCCCCAGTGTCTTCCCCTCAGCCCTCCTGGGCCCAACTCTGTTCACACCCCAGGTTTTCTCTGCAGGAGAGGGGATCTGCTTAGATTGGCTCAGACTTCACCAGGAATCTCTCCACACAGGGCTGAGACCAAGAACACAAAGGACTGATACAAGAAACAGATGTCAACTACTTCCAACCCCTGGAGGCGGAGGGCCAGAGCTTCCAGACAAGGGAGGGGAGGTGGAGGGAAAAGAGAGTCTCCAAGGCAACTGCATCAACCAACCAGCAACATCAAGCCTGTGGGGAAGAACTCTTGGAAAGAGCTAAATTGCATCATCTTGCAAATGGTGCTCCCAAGGAGAAACAAAGACATGACTAAGCCTTGTTACGAAGTCCCCAGCCTCACTTGGCCTCTGGGATAATTTTGGCTTTCTCTGGGGTTCCCCAATTTCATCCGGTGTACCGCTGAACCTCTTACCAACTCCCCTTATACTGGCCCCTTAGCTCCCCGCCCCAAAGATGGCGGCAGATCCCACCATGTCCCTCCCAGCTGAAGAGCAGGCAGAGAGAAGTCATGTGCTCCATCTGCTTTTCTGTACTTCCCATCTCAATCCCATTCCACAGGCCTGGGGATGCTGTTAATCTCATCCTCCTTCCTTCCCACTCCCTCTTCCCACAGCTGGGCTGAGGCATGGAATCCATTGCCTCATTGAGCTGGTTCCCAGAATCCTAGAAAACTCACTTCCTGGGTCCCAGAGGCCAAGACCCAGCCTGAAGTGTGGGCTTCTGGTCCTGAATATCTTCTGGGAAGAGATTCCCAGCCCTGCTTTCACCACCGCTAGGACTTACCAAAGGCCCCAGGTCACATGGGTCAGTGCATGTGCACACATGCACACACACTGCCAGCCCCGAGGAATGTGCCAGTACAGCCAAGCAGAAATCACCCTCGTTCAGACAGAAACATCTTCTGCCATCCACAGTGAGGACTGCATGTCCCCAGGCGCGCCTCCCAGCACCCCTAGTCTGGCACAGCCACAAAGGCTGCCACAAACAGCACCACCTGTGAAGACTTCCTACTTGTCATGAACAGCAGGCTGCCAGCTGCCAAGCCTACAGGCAGACACACACTCACACTCACATAGGCAAAGCTGCTCTGAGACACGCCCTCATACTCTCCCATAATCAGGGGCTCCCATAATCGGGGGTGGGGGTGCGTCGGGAGAGCAGCAGGACCGGCATTTGCACATCAAATGCAGAAGGTACCGAGAGATGCCCTGAGTCTCCGCTTTGGGCTCTTTATTAATCAGGGGCAGCCCTGCTGCCATCTCAGCTAAGAAAATAGCACCCAGGATGGGGACAGTAAACTGGACGCTGACCTCACTCTGCCACTTACAAACTGTTCCACTTAAAGCAAATAAGCCCCGTGCCTTGAAGAGCCCTTATTCACAGAACAGAAAAATAGGAGTCCCATTGGACCCAGCCAGGGGCTGCCAGGAGCATCTACCTGGAGAAAAGAGCAGTGTGGTTTTGGGAAGGGTGGCCAGCTTGCTTCCTGCAGCAACCCCACACTCCCAGGCCTTAGCTCCCCAGAGCCCCCATCCCACTCAGGTCTCCTGGGCAGCTTGGACCAACACTGCCACTGGTTTCATTCCTGGCAAAAACATTAGAGAGAAACAGACACAGCCATTGATTTTCTAACAATAATTGTGACAGAAGAAGCCCATTTGGGAAACGCTCTTGGGGTTTGGAACTGAGTTCAGCCCCAAGGTTAAAAGAAATGCATTAGGGCTGGTCTCAGTTCCGGGCTTCTCTGCCCCCAGCAGCTCTTTCTGGCAGATCCCTCTGCCTTTTCAGGGTGTGGCCAGTTTCCCTGCTGGGGGATCTGACGTTTGCCCTTAAAAAATAGATCTGTTTGCATTTGAGGCACCGAATCTCCTAGAAAAACCAAGAACATTCTACCCAAACTTCCCAAAGCTTTCTCCACGTTCAGGGGCCACGGATGCCTGCAGCAGCCTGGGGTGCAGGGGGCACCTGACAACCGTAGAGAATGTGAGATCCTGGCATGAGGCAGTCAGCCATCTGAAGGTGAGCTGCACCTTCCCAATCCTCTCTCCGTCACCACCAGAATGGCACGTGGGAGCATGTTCTGACCAGAGGCAGGGAAATGGAGGGAATGACCTCCAAAGAGCTAAGGAGCTGCAGGGCAGCACCTCCCTCTACGGAAGGGGGAAGACCCTGCATTCCACTCCCACGGGGCCAGCCCCTCCCCCTGCAGAGCACCAATGGCCCCATGGCACCAATGGCCAGTCAGGGCCACTCACATTCTTTGAACACAGTGTCCCACTGTTGTCCCCCTTGGCAAGCCCAGATCTGCCTGGAGTGTCTGGAGAGACATGTTCCCTCTCTCTTGTCTTGCTCTATGGGAGGGGAGACTGGCGTGGCAGAGGGGAGAGAAGAGAGCCCCATTGTTCCTTAGCCAAGCTGGGGTGTCTGGACACAAGCTGACAGCCAGTGTCAGGGAGAGAACACCCTCTCACGTCCCAGAGGCTGACCGATAACAAAAACAGGCCTGCTCTCCCCACCTCCCTCCCTCCCACCACTACCCTCCACCCCAGGACTTTCTCAGTCTTTGGCCCCATTCTCTCTCTCAGGGCCTCCATCTCCTACACCCACCCAGGCAGAGGCAGGTGCCTTGCACAGACACACATGTGCATGCTTGCATGTGCATACACAAACACACACACAGCCTAACAGAAATGGCAGCAGGACACTGGGATGATGGGGGTACATAGTGGGGCCACTGGGTCACCCTCAGAACCTCTAGGGCCAGCCCCTGTCCCAGCAGGAGGCCATGTGGCCAGAGGAAGAAAGGAAGAGAAGCTCCCAGGAAGCTGAGAAGGCTGGGGTGCCCTTATGACAACAAAGTGTCTTTAGGATCCTAACACCCTATGTTCAAGGAGCCCTGGGGGTCCTCTAAGGGCTGCTTCATACATGGGCATCAGGCCTTCCCCACGGCCCTGCCAGGATGAGCAGTTACCCTGGCCCCAGGGTTCCACACAGGCCCCCAGTCCTGAGGAGCACGACACCAGAGCAGCCCCCTTCTCAGGGAGGCGTCACTCTGCTGCCAGGACAGTGCTGTGCTGGACAACAGCTCACTCCAAGGCTCCCCTAGCGTGGGCCGGACTGCTGGAGGCAATCCCTTCATCTGACACACACACACACACACACACACACACACACACACACACACGCACACTCACACACCCTGCAATTCTGGGAGCTGTAGCCCTGACACAGACCGATACATGTACTTTGGCAAAGCACTGCTGCCCGCCGCCCCTGGATCACGCGGACGAGTACGCTGGTGTCAGGCTTCATGATGTGCCTCCTCTGCACCCCCAAGACTGGCCACTGCCACCCTCACAGACCCAGCTCTTCTTTCCAGTCTTCCGGTTTCCAAAAGACTGGATTCCTCAGCTCCAGGTGGCAGGGCTGGGTGTCCGACAGCATGCCTGGGGCTCCGGAAGCGAGGGCCGCCTGCTGGGCCAGGGCACCAGAAAGCCACACGGCGATCACACTAGCAGCCCTAGGGCAAGCCATGCCAGCTCCCCTTAAGGCAGGCCCACCATCCCAGAACCTGCCCCTACCCAGGCCCTGCTGAACACTGCACTCCCCACCACTGGGCTGAGAGAAGGGCAGAGGGAGAAGAGAGGAGGGAGGGGCGGTTGAAGGGAGCAGTCTGCTAGAGCCATCTCCTGATCATCCCTGGACTGGGAGAAGGAGGGGCCACGGAGGCACCAGATACTGCCATTGGGAATCAACAGTTCCCATCACCCCTAGGCCTTTTCCTGGAGCTGCTCAGGGCCATGGTGTGGGGCAAGCCTGAGCACAGCATCTTCCCTGACCCAGCCTCCAGGGTCAGAAGAGCAGGGGAAGGAAGAGGTGATTCCCTGGCCCGGGCTCAACACCTAAGGGCCTGCGTGTCCCAGAGGTCAGAGGTAGATGTTAGTGGATGGCATCATTCTCAAATGAACTACCGTGACCCCAATGAAGCATCCACGAGGTCCAGGGCATGTCAAACCCCGTGCAAAATACACAACAGGACAGGACTATCGTCTGTCCACTTCTCAGATTGGGAAATTGAGCTCTAAGTAGTTAAGAGACTTGCCCAAAGTCACAGAGGTGGTCTCAGGCAGGGCCAGGACCCCAACCCAGGGCTTCTGACTCTTAGCCATGGGATCAGAGATTAGGAGTGGGACCAAAGGGGTATGCTGTCCCCAGGATGTGCCATGCTTAAGAGTGGACAGAGCAGCAGGGGCTGGGGCACCACTCTATGTTGTGTCTGGTGGCCCCAAGCAAAGCTCAGCCTGGCTCCTGCTGAGACCTAGCCCTGCAGCCCAGGCAGTCTGGCCAGGGTGGCCGGAGTGCTGAACTGTCCGGAGCCCTCACTGAGCACCCTCATTGCAAAGGCCTGTATCTCCGCAGGGGACTCTGAATGTTAGTCTAGTCATTCCAGACATTGTTCCCAGCAGGCAAGACTAAGGCTAGCGTGGGGCCCATGTTCATGCAGATGTGAGCTCTGGCTCATGCAGAGAGGAGGGAGAGAGGGCTGGAGAGAGGAGGGATGGAGAAGTAAGTGAGGAGACAGAAGAGAGGATAGTGAGAAATGGGGGAGGAGAAGGAGAAACAGATGGAAACCAGAGAACAACAGAAAAGGGAGAAGAAAAGACAGAGGAGAGAAGGAAGAAGGTGGGAAAGGTTTGGAAGGAATAGCACGTGGAGAAGGAGTGAAAAAGAGAGAAACCGATGCTCAAAAGTGGGCCAAAGAACTGGAAAGGCAGAAGGGGGAAGGAGAGCGACCCACCGGAGAGGGAGGAAGATCGGAGCCGGTGGTGAGGAGGGGGCGGGAAGCTGCCACTGTGTCCGATGCCCTGCAGCTTGGCATTGTATGCTGCCCACCCCCACCCCAGGGGAGCCAGCAGGAGTGGGAGGCAGGCAGGAAGGGAGGATATGGTGCAAGGCAGGCACCCCACCAACAGCACGGGGAACAGATGAACATGGGAAACACAGAGAATGAAGGGGACGGGGCATTAAACAGGACAAAACAAAACAAAAACAAAGAGAAAATCAAGATTAGTTGGTGTTTTGACTCTGGGATCTGGGCACACACTGGAGGGAGATGGGGAAGGTGTCAGACAGGAAGAGAGGGGGATCCAAGGTCCTGCTTCTCTAAAAGGCAGATGGACCTCCTGCTGGCCAGCACCACAGTGTGTCCCTCTCTTCTAACCCCAGGGTGGAAGCAAAGGTGCCCGCATGGGACCAGGAGACTTCACGTGTCCCTCACCTGCTCCCATAGGCAGCAGGCCTGTCCCTGCACCACCCCTCTTTTCCTGGGCACCTGCCTCTCCCTGGACCCAGGTAACACACCCAGCCTGAGCCCAAGGGTCACCCTCTCTCACACTCTGGCTCCTTACCACAGCCATCTGAGTGATCCTCTTTCCTGGGGAACACTTTGTGCTTTTCTGCTCTGGCCCCCAGCTCCTGGTCATCACCAGAAAAGTCCTTAAGATGAACCTTCTCAGATGCACTAGAAGGACAAGCTATGTTATCCTTTCCTTGCCCCTTGTTGACTCCTAACCCACCTTCACACCACAGGGGCCACATGAGTGGTCAACACTGCCCCTGCCCTGGCCCCCAGAGCTTCAGCTATGTTACCTTTCCTCTCCTTCACAAGCTGCTCCATGCCAGTTCCTATGCTGGTTCTCTCTCTTATCTGTAGTCTCGAAACATGGGAGGCTCCAGGACTCCATCCTTGGGACCTCTCCTTACCTGTCCTCAACCCCTCGGTGACATTGCCCAGTGCTATGCTTTACCTGGCATGTATACGTTGACAATTCCCACATCTCTAAGTTCCAGCCTCTCCTCCTTAACCTCTGCAGACATTTCATGGTTATCTCAAACTTAATGTGTCCAAAAATCATGTTTCTAGTGTTCCCCTGAAACCTGCTCTTCGTACATTGTTACCCATCTCAATAAAGAGCAACTCCATTCTGTAGTTGCTCAGGCCCCAAACCTAAGCGTTGTCTCTGACCTTTCTCTTTCTGTCTCATTCCATGTGTAATCTATCAGTAATCTTGTTGGCTCCACCTCCAAAATATGTCCACAATCCAAACTCTTCTCCCCGTTCCATGGCCACTGCCCAGCAGCAGCCACCTAACTGCTCTCCCTCCTTCCATCCTGCCCACCCTGGTCAATTCAGAACAAGTCGGATGATGTCACTCTTGGGCCCAAATCCTTCCTAAGGCTTCTCATGCCATATGGAGTAAAAGCCACCACTCTTTCAATCACCTCGAAGACTCTCTGTAAGCTGTCCCCATTCCCATTTCCTCTCTGAACTTGTGTCCTGCTATGCCTCCCTTGATCACTCTGCTCCAGCCACACCAGGCACACTCCTGCATCGGGGCCTCTGCACTTGTTGCTCCATGGGGCTCATCTCTCACTGCCCAGTCCTGATCATCTCATGGAAAGTGCAGCCAGCCACCCCCTACCTCTCACTGCTTTATCTCAATGGCACGTATCACCTATCTGACATAACCTATGTATATGTGCTTATTTGTTTAGTATCCATCTCTGCCATAAGGGCAAGGATCTTTATTTGTCCTGTTTGCCACCATTTTCACAAAGCCTAGACTGGCAAGTAGCACACATTAGAAGTTCATGTCGAATGAATGATTGAATGAGCCTTGAACTCATCTCCTATTTTCAGAACAAAATGTGAAAAAAAAAAACCAAGGGTTTTCAATTCAAGCTCCCAAATCTTGACATCAGTATTTCCCTCTATCTTTATCTATCCTTTATTCTAATTTCATGAAGAGGCATCTTACCTCCTGGTTGAGCCTAATTTACCTATGTGGACTCCTAGGCCTATCCCCTCTTACCTCCTTAGAGACCTTATTCTATCAACTTCTTTCTTTCTCTTCTTTTTCTTGTCCTTCCTCCCCACATGTCCAACCTACTCCCCTCCTCTTCTACATACAAACATTCTCATGACTCTTATATTTACAAAAAAGTCCCCAATCTCTCACTATCCTCTTTAGCTACCACTCTCTCCCCTCTTATCACAAAACCACTCAAAAGAGTAGTTGGCTTGCTGTCTTCACTCCTTCTCCACTCATCCTCAATCCCCCATAGTCTGGTTTCTGTCACCAACACGCACTAAAAATATGCCTTTGATGTTTTACACAGGGTTGCCTAATTTGCAAGTCCGGTGGATTTTTCTCAGTCCTCCTCATAATCTCTCCAGGCTGACACTGCTAACCTCCTGCCCTTCCTCCGTGAAACCCTTTACTGTCTTGACTTCTGTGATGACATGCTGTCCTGGTCTCCTGCCACCACCCGAGCACTCACTCTCAGCCCCTTTGCAGCCTCTACCTCTCTTCGTGGCCATTCCATCCTAAGTTATTTTCTCTCCAAGCCCTCTGACATTGAGATCTCATATACACCCAAAGCTTTAACCATCACCTTTGTGAGAATGATTCCAAAACCTGCAGCTCTTCCCATTCTTTCAAGCTCAATTCCAAAGTTCAGTTGTCTTCCATACGTCTCTCCCTGGAGGCTCTACTGTCCCCTCGGAGGACTCAACATGTCTAACACCAAGGCTTCATCTTCCACCCAATGTCCTCCTTCTGCCTTCCTGCTTGTTAACAGAACCATCATTCTATTTCTATTCATGGAGCTCAGAATCATTCCTGATGAACCCTCTCCCTCACCCACTCCAGTCAATCAACACATAAGTGCATTGGTTCTACTCCCACAGGATCCATGGCATCATCTCTTCATTTGTGTTCCTATGGTCAGCACTCTAATCCAGCCCCACATCACTTAGGCTATCTAATAATCTCCCAGAATCTCCTGGCTCAAAGTCTCTCCCACGTAGTGTCCTTCCTGCCCAGACCCACCAGACACATCATCCTGAACCTCAGCTCCGGTCATGGCATGTTACCCCTATGAAACCACAGGAATGGCTTCCTACATTGCTGCCAGGTAAGATGCAAGCTCCTTAGTCTGGTATTGAAGACCATCAAGAGACAGACCCCAGGCTATCTATCCTGACCTGTCCCTCACAGAGACTACATGTTCTCAATCTACTTGCCATGCTCCAAACATTTTCTTTGCTCTCCTGTCTTCACTGTGAACCCTCTCTGCCCAGTGATCCCAATTACTTTCAAAATCCTATCCATCTTCCAAGGCTCAATTTAAAAACCACACTTAACACTGCCTCCCCCAGCTCTAGCTGATAGTGATCGCTTCACCTCTCTCTTTCAGAGCTTTCTCCTTACCTCTCTTATTACAAAAGACTATTTTAAAGTTCCAGTTCCTTTTCCCCCTTCTAAACTCTAGACTCCTTAAGGATAAGATCTATATCTGATTTCCAACATGCATTGAAATCTCTACCTCTAGAGACATCTGAGATCAGTCCAGTCACACAATCGGGGCATAAGATAACCCAGTTGGACTCTCCAACTCTGACTCTTATTTCTTTTTCTTGTCTTATTGCACTAGCTAGGACATCCAATACAATGTTATATGTACGTGGTGATAACAGACATCCTTATTTTATCCCTGGCTCTAATAGGAATGCTTCCAGTGCTCCACAGGAAAGTGTGATGCATGCTATAGGCTTCTGGTCCCTACCCTTTATCAAATTAGAAAACTGCCCCTACATTCTCTATGACTTAAACTGGAATAAGACACAAGGGTGATTGGATCAAAGTGGAATAAACCAGGGACATGAGACTGAGGTATGGAGGACAGCCAATGGGGAAAAGGCAGACCTGGAGGAGGAAAGCCAGGAGAAACCAGATCAAGTTCATGGCCATGAAGAGGTTCTCCCACGGATCTGAGCTTCCTAGGTTACCATGTCAAAGCATATGTTCCAGCTTCTTACAGCAGAGATGTAGAAAGAGCAGAAAGAAGTAGTGCTGAAATCTATCTTCCCTGCCTCCCAGACTGTTCTACACATTGATCTTGTCTGTCTGCCTTCATCTACACAGGTACTGCAGATACCCTGAAAGGCTACTAAGGAAATTACACATGCAGGACCTGCTGACATAAATTCTGTTATAATGACAGGGCTTGAACCAAAGAGGCAACTTCATAGCCCTGGGAACCAAACATAACTCTCCCCTCTATACATTTCATCCCTTCTCCTGAGTCACTCCCAGTTGATGGAGGAAACGGAAACAGGGTTAAGGAATGGGAACATTGTGCCAACAGTATCCTTCCCTCCCTAAGATTTCATGGCAGCCAAAGCCTGAGAGGCTACAGAATATGGAAGTTGACAGTGAAGCCCTCGAAAGCTGGTAGGAGAGAAAGGGCTAAAAGGCAGTCCACTACAAGATGGGCATCCTCCTAGGGCCATTAGGGTTATGGCCTCCTCTTGAGCAAACTCCAGGAGAGCTACATGGAAGGGTTCTTGTAGGGGAGGAAATGTATTCTGCTCCCCCAGAGAGAAGGCTCCTGGATCCTGCCCTTCATTAGACTAACATGTCACTAAAATTTAGGCCACCACTCCAACCTCACAAAATATTGGGAGGGGAATTAAATTCCCAGGGAATTCAGCGAGCCCCATCCCTCTCCCCTCAACAAAACCAAGAAGAAAAGGGTCTCTGCTGACAAAGCCAGGGGAGTGTCTTTATCTCAGGGGCCCAGATGCAGGAGGAGGCAGAAGTCAAAGCCCACCTGGACCACCCACGGAGCGTTTCATCCCTAGAGTTAAGAGCTGCTCATCCTGTGTTCCTATGCTCAGGTAAAAGGAATGGTTACTGCTAGTTCAGCTCTCTATGGGAGGTAAGGCTGATTGCCAATTTCTATGGTGTAAATACTCCCACAATGGCCAATTTCAAGCTATTATACCAATAGTGGAGCTGGGGACTCTGCTCTGCTCTGAAGTACAGGAGCAGGGAGCCTGTGCCCCCACACCAGGTCCTGAGCCAGCTGGCCTGCCCCAAGCTGCTTCCCTAAACCCACGGTCCATCTCCAGGGAGGGTGTCTCCTTCCCTCCCTGCAGCTGGCATGGTGACTCAGCTTCCCCTAAATTTAGGAAAAGGGGTGGAGGACAGAGACAGCTGCCCAGGCTCCTCTCCTCCTCGCTGAGCTCCCACCACCCTGTCAGCTGAGGGGCTGGCACAAGGTCCACCCAAACCCACAGTCTCTGGTCCACCCCTGTCTGGGCTTCACCTCCAGAATAAAGTCACCCAACAGGTCTTCCTGCCAAGTTCAGCCACCCTTGTGGAATGGGCATAGGCTTAAACCTATGGGAAGGGAACCTCGCAGCTGTCCCTCCCAACATGGCCCTGGACATGCTGCCATTTCTTGCCTTTGTCTCCCCAAAAGCTCTTCTGAGTGTCCCACTTTCCTCTCTCCCAAAAGAAAGGCCCACTCTCCGACAGGAAAAAGAGCTTTTTCTCTCGGTGCCTGCTTCCCATACAGGGCTGGTTCTCAGCAAAGACCAACAGGAAAACTGACTCGGAAGGGGAACCTTGGCCTCCCCTCAAAGACAATATCCTGAGAGGCCCCAGCAGATAGAGCCTAAGGGCCTGAGGATACCCTCTCAGCTCTTTTGTGGCCTCTGGGAGTGGGGCCTAAGGGGGAATTTGAGTCTATAAAGACCTCCCTCCAGCCTTCTCCACATCTCCCCCAAGGAACTGAAGTCTGAGGACAGACAGCATGACAGGCAATTGCAGAGTCTCCTCTCTGTCTAGAAAGTCTGTACTCCAACCCCAAAGTCACCACCTCCTGGAAGCTTTCCCTGACTGCCCTAGGTGGTAAGCTTTGCTTTCCCAGGCTCTGGGTTCTTGGTCCCGCCTCTGTCCTGTCACAGTACACATTACTCTCTAATGAAATCATCTGTCTGTGTACCTGTCCACTCACTAGACTGTAAACTCCTTGAGGGCAGGAATTATTTGACATTGAACTTTGAAACTTGGTGTCTGACTTGGTGCCTATCAGACAATGAATGCGGGAAGGGATAACTGGCTAACATGTAGGCTCCAGAGACCCTCCTCCCACCAGTGAAAGCAACACCTGCTTAGGGGTCATGGCTGGACCTGTACCTCTCCCCAGGAAGACCAAATAAGGAAGGGGTAGAAGGAGTCAGAACAGAATACCTCTTACCTGCTACCCTGTGGGCCACCAGCCCTTCCAAATTCAATGGCTCCTCCTCTGGAGTCCGGGAGGGATCTGAAGTCACTTCCTTTGGTGAGAGCAGAGGCTGAGCAGTGAGGCCAGGGAGGGAGGCTGGGGGTTGCTGAGGCCCTAGAGGGCTGTGGGTGGTCGGAAGGAAGGCAGGCAAGGAGGAAGAGGCTGGGCTCTTTGAACGGAAATCCTGGTTAGGCCCAGCTGAACACGGCTGATAATCATAAGGTGAGTAAGACCTGCCAGGAGGGACAGACTCCAGAGAGGCCCGTGGGGCTGGCTCAGGGGTTCCCAACGAATGCCCACTGGTGATGTAGCCAGATCTGGATTGGGTCAGTGGATGGGACTGACGGGAGGATCCGGAGAGGGGCTGAGAGGAGAGTGGAGAAGCCCCTGGCCAGGCCCCGGGGACACTCTGGGACTTATGTAGTGGGGCAGCAGTGGAGGCTGGCTCCAGGTCCAGCATCAGCATGTTGAGTGCTTCGATGGACTGTTCAATCTCCTGCTGGGAGGCTGCCCGCGGGAACTCAGGGAGACTGGGGATGGGGGTCTCTGCCAATGGCTGAGGGCTGGGCCTGCTGGCTACAAGACTCTCCAAGTGGACTCTTTCCTGCTGGCGTGGAGGTGGGCGAGGCTGAGGCTGCGGCTGCGGCTGCTGCTGCTGCTGCTGCTGCTGCTGCCATGAATTCAGCCCCCTCTGCACAGCCTCCCGGCTGCTTCCCCCTCGAACTGGAGCTGGGGGCAGCTGAGGTTCGGCTTCCGAAAAGGATTGAGAGCGGAACATACTGCTGGGGTCATGGGCATAGTGGGAGGTGGTCACTGGCTGTGGCCAGGCTGGGTGGGGCCCCTCCCGCTGGTAGCCAGCTAAACCCTCCTGTGCAGAGTAGGAGGGCCGCATGGGGACCGTGTGGCCAGCATGGGCAGGCCCTGCCCGGCTGGCAGACTCGTAGGGGTAGCCTCCTCCATTGACCATAGGCTCCATGGGGTAGGGCTTGTCCAGACCATTGGTCAGTGGGGACAGGGCCTCTGGGTAGCCCCCCTCACTGGTGTTGGTGACCCCGTCCAGGGAAGACAGTGTGCCCACGCTGCCCGCACTGTGACCATCCTGGTTTGGCAACTCATCATCCAGGATGTCTGTCTCCCGCTCAGAAGCTAATGCCCCGCCATTGACATGAACCTGGGCAGGGACAACATGGCGTCCAGAGGAGGGCACAGCCGGGCCCCCCGCTGGGCGGGACCTGAGGTGCTGGGTGTGGTACATGGCGCCTTGCTTCTCTCGCTCAAAGCCAAAGCCACTCAGCAGGCGGTCCAGCTCCCGCTTCTCCTGGGGACTCAGGGCAGCAGGGGCACTGGAGGCCCCGGGGACAGGCTCATCAGTCTTGTCTGTCTTGGTGGAGGCTGTGGAGTTGCCCGAGTCGCTGCTCACTGAAAGTGTGTGTTCCACGTGGTTGGGGGTGGCCGACAGTGTAGGACGTGTGGCATTGACAGCCCCGGTGCTGCCATGCAGGGAGTCTTTCTTCTTCACCTTGGCATACAGGCTCCCATCTAGTGGCCCCTGCGTGTGTCCCACCACCTCTGCAAGGGACAGAGCCGGAACGGAGACAACAGACAGGAGACATTAGTGGGAGGCAGGGGTATCATCCACTCTTCCAGAGAAAGAAGCTAACACCTCCCATTCCCTGCATCCTAAAACCTCCTCTCAGCACCCTGAGGTGGGGAAAAGGGGAGATGACAGAAATACCTCTACCCTAGGCTTTAGGGCAGAGCCTCACCAACACAGGGTCAGGCAGCGGAGCCCAGCACTGAGCAGGAAGCGCTGGGGGCAAATCGCTCCAGTCCCAAACCTAGCTCTGGCATTTCACCAGCTTCCTGACCAGAGGCATGAATAACTCTCTGAGCCAGTCTCCTGGTCCATAAAATGGGGATCATAATAGAATCCAGTTGAACCACCTGAAATTGCCAATATTCATTAAACACACAGTGCTTCGAGTTTAAATGAGTTGACACATGATGTGCCGAGACCAGTGCCTGGCACGTGGTGGAAGGTCAACAGCTGGGGAGCCCTAACCATTGCCATTATAAGTATCACTAATTCCTGAATGACCATTTCCAACGCATCCTTGGTTCCCTCCGCCACCCCACTCAGAAAGTCTCACCCTGCTTCGATTTCTGGAGTTCCCACTCTGGATTAGAGGCAGAACGCCAAGAGAGTAGCCACTGCCTTGAATGCCCATAGAGGTATCAGCATGGACGGCCAGTCGCCCCTGAGGATAGCCTTTGCCCAGGTAAGCAGGGGGAGAACTCAGGAGGACAGTAGGGTGCAGCGAAGGGCCCTACCATGCCCAAGGTGGTGGTGGCAGGGAGGCTGAAGGCAGAGCTGGGACTCTCTGAGACAAGCTAGCCCTCAGCTAGATTTGTCTCCAGCTCAATGCAAAGGATGCACTAGAACCATTCAGAGATACAACGTTATTCATGCTGCCCACTGCCACATTTCCAGAGGCTCCTCCCAGCTCCTCCCCAGCACTGCCCACTCCTGATAGACCCCCACCCCTCCACCAGCAAGCTCAGCCCATACCACCCAAGACTCCAGGCAAGGGATGCGGGTTCAGGGAAGGTACGCCAGGCAGGATCGCAGCAGGTCTGCAAAGACGAGCGTCCTGATCCCACCGCTCTGAGCCAGCCCAGGGGCCCCTGAAGAACGGGCCAAGGTGTGGCTCAGCCAAGCCAACAGTCCCTGTGTCAGAGGGGACACGCTTTTCCTATGCTGGAGGATGGGGAGCATATAGGGTGCTGATGCAGGGGGTTCAGGGACTAGGGCAGGAGGAGAAGCATCTTAGGGATCGTGAAGACAAAAACAAGCTGTCTTCAGGGGTGAGAGAGTCCTCTTGTCTGCAGACAGCTCAGAGGACCCCCCTGAACAACACTTTCTCTGGAAGGAAAAAGTGAGCGCTGGGTGGCTGGGGGCCAAAGGGCTGACTCAGGAATGAAGAACTTCCCCGCCCAGAGGAACTCAGTGATTTCACACCCTGTACAGTCAGCAGCCCAGCCGCCAGCCCCAACAGACACACACACACATACACACGCACCTCCCCTCACTCTAATCCAGGCTCTCCGTTAGCAAGGAAAAAAGACCCTTCCCAAAGCCTACACCAGCTCCAGCCAGACACCAGCAGTCACACTCCAAGCCAGACAAAAAGACAGAGAGCACCCAAATCAGAAACACCCAGGCATGAGCATGCACTGGGTGCCACACAATGCCAAGAACCACAGTCAGAAAGCACTGGCATGAACATGTGCCCACAAATACCAATAACAGTGGCCACCATGCAGTGAGCACAGCCCAAACGCCAACACTTTGCCGGGTACTCTACACGCGCATCCTCTCTAGCCATCGTCTCCGAGCCAGACAGTATTACACCGATCACAGCAAGGGAGAAACTGAGCCTCTGAGAGGGGAAACTGTTTATTTGCCAACAATGCTGCCTGATAAAGCCAAGATTTAAAATCAGAGCTAATTTCCTTCCAAGAGTATGTAATTTGTATTATGCTACACCTCCCTCATATCACAAACACAGACACACATACACACAAATTAGAATAAACACATAACAGGCAGGAACACCCCCAAATAAATACTGAAAGCCACAAATATTTCAGAAAATACAAATGTTCCTACCATGCCCAAGGATCAGCCCTGAGGCCAGAAGTGGCAGCCTCTAAAAATAAACACTCTGACAGAAGCCCATGGCCAAAAACAAGTGATCAGACGACCACAAAACAGGAACATCCCAATCAACATACACACACACAGACCACAGGCCAGCCATGTTACAACACAGAGAACTTAGCACAAAGATGCCCCACCAGGCACTTGCATACCCCTACACACACACACACACACACACACACACACACACACACCCTGGGGACTGGATGCCCTCCTCATTTACTGACCTCTCCAGATCCATCTCTCTGCCCCCAGTTTTCCCCAAGGCTTTGGGACCTCAGCCAACACCAGCCCCAGACAACACAGGACCAGAGTGTTGCAGCGGCCCAGGGCCCAGGGCTAGGGGCTGGTCTGAACTGAAAAGGAGTTTTGGGCCGGGCGCGGTGGCTCAAGCCTGTAATCCCAACACTTTGGGAGGCCGAGACGGGCGGATCACGAGGTCAGGAGATCGAGACCATCCTGGCTAACACGGTGAAACCCCGTCTCTACTAAAAAAATACAAAAAAACTAGCCGGGCGCGGTGGCGGGCGCCTGTAGTCCCAGCTACTCGGGAGGCTGAGGCAGGAGAATGGCGTGAACCCGGGAGGCAGAGCTTGCAGTGAGCTGAGATCCGGCCACTGCACTCTAGCCTGGGCGGCAGAGCGAGACTCCGTCTCAAAAAAAAAAAAAAAGAAAAGGAGTTTTGGCTAAAATACAATCTGAATCTCCACCAACCTGGCCCGGTGCCTAGACCCCTAAAGGCTGCTAAGACGCAGGACCAGGCACAGCTGCCTCTTCCAATCCCCCTATTATCATTTTAAAGGGGTCTTCTCCCTGTAGGATGAGGGAGGCTGACCTTCATGCCTGCTCCCTCCAAAAAACTGAGCTCCTTGCTACGCAAAAAAGAGAACTCGGCCTGGCATGGTGACTCACACCTGTAATCCCAGCAGTCTGGGAGGCCAAGGCAGGCGGATCACCTGAGGTCAGGAGTTGAAGACCAGCCTGGCCAAAATGGTGAAACCCCACCTCTACTAAAAATACAAAAAATTAGCCAGGCGTGGTGGCACGTGCCTGTAATCCCAGCTGCTTGAGAGGCTGAGGCAGGTGAATTGCTTAAACCTGGGAGGCAGAGGTTGCAGTGAGCCAAGATCGCACCATTGCACTCCAGCCTGGGTGACAGAGCAAGACTCTGTCTCAAAAAATAAAAAATAAAAATAAAAAAAAGAAGAGACCCCAGCTGCCCGTTTCTAGAAGGGCGAAGCACGGAAGACAGGCGCCTCTGATGCACTCACATCTCTGGGGTGGTTCTCTCGAGGATGGGGCCCCTCGGACCAGCTGGCTGAAATCTGAAGAGCTGGCTTTCCTTCTCACTGTCCCTAGAAAGCTGCAGGCTCCCTCCTGGGCCAGGGCACCCCCTCTGCCGCCTACACTGTGAGGTGCCAGAATTCTGCTCCTGGACCAGTGATCCCCTCCATCCTTTGTGCCTCCTCATCCCCCAACTTCATGCTCATGTGGTCTGAGAAGTGGGGAGCTGCAAAGCAAAGGCTGGTGTGTCCAGTGGCTTTCCCACTTAGACATGTTCCATAGTGAGAGCCACTGGGGGCAAATTCAAATCTGAAAGCACATACGCCCCTGCAGCATCTCAGTCATGATTAACAGAGAGCTTTCAGCGGCAGAGCTGTGAAGGCATCCTCCAGGCAGGACAGAGAATTGACTACCTGATATCTCAGCCCTTCCTTGCTTCTGCGGCCAAGCCCCACTCTGCATCGATTTTGAAAATGTCAATGTTAAACTTATTCTGTCATGTAATCTATCCCCAAGTGGGCTCCTGTTTGCAGCAACAACATCAGGAACAATCATAGCCAAGCCACTAAGGCATAGTAAGAAAATCGAACAGATGTAAATTGTTTAATTAACTCATTTGCTAACTACAAATGGAAATGTCTCTTGGCCCCAGATTGCACCCTCCAGGCCACTCAGCACCTTTGCTGAGCTGTCCTCCTCTTCCTATCCAAGGGAAGTTTTGAGAATACCCAGGCGGGTCCCAGGCTTATCCAGCCCCCATGGGGGCTCTGCTGAAACCCCAGTATAGCGGTAGGATCTGAGGAGCACGTGCCCCTCCTCCTTCCATCAGAGACAAGACAAAAGTCCCCCATCCCCCACTCCGGCACACACACTCTCATCATTCCCTTCTCCCCATCCACCATGGCCACATTAGAGCTTTTTACTGGGACCACAAGAAGCCGGAACACAATGTTGGTTTCAATCTGTCAAGTCAGGAAGGGCAAAAGACAGAGGGGGACAGAGAGGACAGGAGTGAAATTACGTAGAGGAGGATGGGAGAGGGACTTAAGGGAGGCTGGGGAGGTGGCTTTATGGCTCTTAATCTGAGGGGCCCCCAGCACCATCTTCTTGAAGTCCCAGCAGCCACACAGGGAGTGGTCAGTTCGGGGGAATGCATCTCAGATGAGAGGAGGCTGGACATCCAGAACAACAGGGCATAGGCTAGAGGGAGGGGTCTGCATGTCTGAGGGCTGTGGGCATTGTCACGGGTGACAGTGGAGTGGGATACACTGAAGCAGAAACACAAGCTGCAGGCGGCCCCAGGTGGAGAGCTGCAGGCCCCAAGCCCAGTGAGCCTGGACATCTGCCCTTGTGGGCTGAAAGGTCCAGTGCCCTGCCCATTCCTCTTGGTGGTTGCAAAACCCAAAATCTCTCCATGGCCCCACTGGCTTTGTTTGAGGATGTCTCCCTGCTCTTCTCAGCAGCTGCAGAGTCCCAGACTCCACCCTCGACGCTGAGCTTGATTGCACCACGGGACCTTTATTCCAGGGCCGCCATAGTCCAGACGCACGAGTCACGCTTTTGG